ATCCACCTAAGAAAATGCGGAAAAACAAAAAATCTGGAATGGGAACTGGGTCCGGAGAACGGGGATCTCTGCGGGCGCCGCCGAAATTGGCCTGTCACTGGTCACGCACTCGAAGGCTGAATGGGGGCGTGGTCGATGGTGGAGGCCTTTTTTCATGCAAAACATTTTACAGTTTTTAACATCTTGTTTAAGTTATTTTTCAGACATAATTTTCGAGATATTTTACATATGTTTGTTTCTTTTTTACAACTTACAATTTTAACATAATTTTTTGTTTTGTTTTTTCCCCAAAACTTGTATTAATTTGTAAGAACTCACATTTGGTGTTATTCAAATGTCGTAAACTTTCACTGGGAAACTTTTACCTAATCGGCTTTAATTCCATGGCTCTCCTTTGGTGGGCCAGGCCACTCGTTTAGACAATGCCTTTCGATGTGGAACTGCCCATACTTTACACGTTATTAGTCTAATTTAATCAAATGAAGGCATTCTCAATAGCCGCATTCATTTTTCATTAATGAATTGGACCCAGATGGGAAGTATCTTGATATGAAAAAACCCTCTAGACCAAAAACGGTAGCGTTGATAAATCTAATTTCCCAGTCCCAGGGAGAAAGCCAGAATCCCCACCACATACCCACACGTGTGTAATGCCCAGAAAAGAAATTCCAAAACCAAAGTGGTCGTGTCAAATCCCATCAGCTCAAATAGATCTCATCCCGCAGATATTGGATAGTTTTCCATTATGATTTGCCATTTGCCCATTATGATTTGCCATATGCAGCAAAATGGATTTTAGTGGGCGTTTTTTTACGTAAACAACCCCTGGAGTGAGCCCTTCTTCTTCCGATAAAAGACTCTCCTGTCAACGCGATTGTAATTTATTCTTTTGCGCATTTCCCTTTATCGGAAATTTGGCCAATAAGGTATTCGATTGCAGGATATCCTTTCCCTCCCGATTTGCGAAAAAATGCATTTCGAATGCCACAGAAAGAAAAAAAAACAGACACACAAAAGAGGCTAGAGGGTTTAGAGGTTTAGCCAACTGTGAATTGAATTTGGCACTCAAGCGATTGTTTGTGGATGGGTGCTAATTTGAGATGCGAATACCGGAATAGATACGGATTGCAATTTCTCCAGTCGAGCATGAAAATGCCGCAGATTTAGGGTGAGAAACGGGCCCTGCTTTCCTATCGCGCACATAAGTAGCTGGCTATTTCCCACAAAAAAATGAAAAAGCAATCACCTGCAAATGCTAAATAGATCGGCTTATCGTACCGCCCACGGTTTGATTTATCGCCGTTTATCTAAGCAAGAAGTGCAGGCAGCAGGCGGCACAGCCTCTTGGCTAAGATTTATTGCCCTGGCCAAACGACAACTCAATAAAGTGCCACTAATTGGGCTTTAATAGACAGCGACTGTTAACTCTTCATTGTCATCTGGATATCTGGGGACATAAAGCTGCATATATATGAAAGCAAAGGAAATCGAGTGGAGCCTCCATTGATTGATATGCTCGCCTCCAATTCAAATCAAATTGTCAAAATACGCTGCCCACGATCATAAATTAGAAGAGCCACAAAAGACGGCGTGGCACAGTAGTGAATTCGAAACGGGGTGGGGGAGCCCAAACAAAGCGGATAATAATGCCTTCGGTTTTGAGATATTCCCAGAGATATTTTTTACGACCATTGATGGCTGGCATACCATATTATGTTAAAAAACCACAGAAGTGATCGTAAATTTTCATAAAATGTCACGCCAAAACGTCACACTTTTTTTGTAAGCATAATTAAAAATATAATAAAAGGCAATTCCATACATATATGCATGGATTAATTTAAATATCTGCCTATATCATTTTTTTTTCTTTTTGTCAACTTTGAGGGCCTGCACATAAATTTCGACATTACCAATGCTGTCGTCTGGTTGGAAATTAAGGTCTCATTTGCATAAATCCAGCGTTCCTGCCATTTAAACGGTTATCAGAGAGTCCCAGCGATCCATCGATGGCAAGGAGAAGAACCAATCCCAACATAACTCAATCGAACACCTTCCAAGACTCCGTTTTGACAGCCATATTTCTTTGACATTTTAATTATTGTCAGAGCGTGACATCCATTTGAGTCGATTTTATTATTATCGTGGTTTTTCGGGGGACCTCACTCTCCAAAAACACTCGACCGACTACGTGCTTAATATGTGGGTAATTTAAAGCAGCTCAGAAGCGTGCCAGGAATTTGGATACATTAACTTTTGGAGTTCGAACTTTGGGTTTCCCATTTTTTTTTTTTCCTTTTTGGTTCAATGAACTGCACTCTACGCCTGATTGAACTTCCACACGCCTGCGCTGATTGATCAATAAAAGATCATTTGATTATCAATATGCACTTATTTCACACCTCAAGCCATTTCGTATTGTTATTGTTCCGCCTGCAATAACACACATAATAATGAGCTGAGCAAATTGAATAAGATTTCTATGAATATTACTAGAGAAAAGATACATTTGATGGGGTGTAAAGGCGTCAAATCGCCGTTTTTATTCATTTAATCATTGAATGTATTTTAACTTTATTAAGTTAATGATTTCTTTATTTTCAATTTTTATTAATATATCCAAGGGTTATGTTTAGTTAAAATAGTTCATAAAAAAATTATATTCTCTCATATTAACACTAATATGCTTATTTGTTCCGTATTGAATTAAGTAAACAAATTTATTTAAATAAAAAATAAATGCTTTCAATCGCATAGGCCCCGGCGAGATTCGAACTCACGATCTCCTGTTTACTAGACAGGCGCTTTAACCAACTAAGCCACGGCGCCACATGCATTGTGTGTGGCCAGAGTTCAGTCACAAGTTGTCACAGCCCGCTCTCCGACCAACCCTCATGCGCTCTCACCGCTTGTTCTTGTTGTTGTTCTCTGAGCTAAAATTAGCGCACTGCGGTGAAGAGAGAAAGAGATAGACATATATATGGGCAGAGAAAACTTTCCCACAAGAACAAATAATATAAATTATTCTTTTTAACAATTTAATACGCTAGAAGTTGTCTCTGTCCACACACACACACATGCAAACCAATACGTAAAAAAAGATAAAAAGAAGAAAAATTACTTTTGTTAACTCGAGCAAAACAAATCGTTTTTTAAATGAGCCTCGGAAAAAAAGTCACACCACGACAAACACGACGCAAGTGAAATGCAACACCACATGGCATTCGAAGTGAAAGGCTGTCACTGGGTCTCCACCCCCTTTCTCCCTTCCCTCTTCGTAAAAGCCCCTCCTACTGCCCTTTTAGACGACCTCTTCGATTTTAACAAATGAACTGACGCGCTTAGCGTGTCATTTGTTTAGTTTATATTTAGGGAAGAGTTGGAAATTGCCAAAGACTCCATAAAAATAGAAAAATTAACTATGCACTGCCAAAAATGAGTTTAGCATTGGTTATTACAATGGAGAATTGATTAAAGTTTTAATTATAGTAGTAGATTACAGATTGAGTTGTTTTGGAATCATAAGAACATTTACTGTAGAGATCTTACATTAATCCCATACTTAAGATGTTATAAACAGCATTACAAATTTCATTAAGTATTGAGTATATAACATAAACCTATCAAAAACTATCTTAATTTATTTTTCCGTGTGGCTGTGGGAAATTCCAGTGGGAGGGAAATAGTAAATCCATCGGATAAACGGGAACGGAACCGGGAAGGGGATCGTATCGGGTAAGCAATGCCATTACAGCCTCTTGAATTTTTTTTTATTTCGGTTACACTATTTATGCGTTTTTCCTTTTCGCTGAAACTTTACAATTTCCGTATTTGAAAGGGGGGTTGGGCGATTGATGCCATGTAAATAAAAACGCATGCCTTTCAAATAGTTCTGCTGCCTGTTTATGGCCGAAGTTGCAATGGAAGTTGCAGTTGCAATAAAAGTTGCATATACGGGATAAGCATGTGGGCCATAAATTGCCCACCTATTGACAGCAATATTTTATGATATTTTTGGGCCTCTGTTTATCTGCTGGCATAGTTTCAGGGAGATGAGATAATTATTCAAGTATTGGCAGGGCATTAAATCGCCAGCATACCATATGCCTGCTTTTTATGTCAAGGATTTTATTCCAGCTGTCCTGAAAGAGAACATAAATAAACTATAGTTAAGGATTTAATTACTTGTTCAGATTATATCGTTAGGGAATCAATGGCTTTCCTACTCAAGTGGCCACTTCCTTGGCGTACTCCGCCATAATCTCTAATAATAATATTTTTTATTAGGAACAAACATTTCCTTGCCGCAGCAGCTGGCTAAGATTTCGATTTCCCATTGCTCCCGTAACAAGCTGTGTATTTATAAATTGATGTTTATTATGCACAAAGTGCATAAAGTTCATTGAACGAGTGCGTGGCATGCCGCTTGCCACAAAGTGCTGACACACTTTGGCCAGGCAACTGCCAACTGACAAAGAGGCAGGCGGTACTGCCAGCCTTCTCCTCCGGAATCTCCAGAGACTCCAAAGATTCCGGAGACCACACAAGTGGTTTGACCTTAAACGATGCTGAACTTGAATTTGGTGTGGCTGCGCGTCTTTTATGTTCATTTCTCAAGTGCAAGGCGGCAATTTCAATTAACCCGACGCGGTACTCGCCATAAATTATATACATTATCCATTATCTCACTTAAGGCATCTTCGATTCGGTACAGTTGACAAATTTGATCGGCAATGGAATCTATGATTAAGTGGTTTCCCAGCTGGGTGTGTTTATTATTATTTTTCTTATATATTTCTTAACCCATGGATTAATTTACTTTCCTGGGCTGTCGGCTCACCAGGTGTCGGATATGTAATTAAGCACCTTTTGGGTTCTCACTCTTTTTTGACATCCTGACACCTGCGCCCAAAATTGTGGGTCAGACCATAATCAGGTCGTCTTTTCTGGCACCTTGTGATTGATAATTAATTAATGTGCTTTCTCCGTTTCGTTTGCAGCGATTCTCCAGCGATCCACCGTGGATGTGGGGCGCATCAAGCTGCAGAGTGTGGCCACTTGCCTGTATCTGTGCATGGACGCGTGCGGTGTTCCCTACGGCTCGGTAAGTAAGCTTTCAATATTATAAAAAAAAGTTAAAAAATATTAATTAAAAAGAGGTTAATGGTTAATGTAGCTCACAAGATCAGTTAACATATTTCAATCTTTCTCTGAAAAGAAAAGATATATCACAAATTTGGGCATCCTTATTTTCCGTATCCCCTGAACCGCGAAATTGATTTCTTCTAACAATTTGCCGCTCTGCGATAACTAAATTTGGTATATGGAGCGGTCTATATCTAGTCCATTGTTGGCACCCCTCTAACGAAAACAAAAACAAACAAAGGCCTGTTAAAAGATTGAGGTAAACCAAAAAAAAAAAAAAAAATAAAACCCAAAAGGGATACTCAAATAAATGAAAGGGCGACCGAAGGGCTCGGGCAATAAATAAAAAATTAAATGTGAACAAAAACAAAGCAACACGATCAGCAGCAACAAAGGGAGTCCTTTTTGCCTTTTGCCCTGGAATGCGTCCTTAGGCTGTCAAGTGGTTGGAATATCGTCCTTGGGTTTCTATACCCCTGCTCCTTATACTTACCCTGACACTTTATCCCGCTGCGTTTCAACGATCCTCATCTTTGGGATGCCTTTTTTGGGCTGGCGCCACTGCAACCACTACGGCCGCGCTTCATTGGTCCGTCGGACATTAGTTTTATTTAATTTTTTGTTTTAATTTATTTCATTTCTTTCCGCTGTCTCAAGCACTTTGACCTTTCCGCATCCGAAATAGCAGCGAGTGTGCCAATTCTGTCAGCCTAGGCGTGTCCGCCTTGGCTTTTTTTTTTTTTAGGCGAGTATCTCGCAGATACTCGGATAGATACTTGCTGATTGATGCGCTTCACCAGCGGCCACTTTGTAGGCGGCCCTTTGAAGGCGCCGCATGCCTCTAACATAGCCAACATACATATCTCTAAGTTGGTCAAGTGGGCGGTTATATTGGGCCGTCTTGTTTATTTTGGCGACCAAGAAGGCGTCCGGTACACACAGCACGAGATCTGAGAAAGAGAAGCAAGAGCTGCATTCTAAACTTACCCGCCGCTAGTTATGGTCCCTGATTTACTAGTACTTTTAATACTTTCCGTCGTTGTGCTATATATAGCCCTGCCACATTTCACCATAATATTTCTTAAATATTTTCTGTCTTGTGACCAACGAGGCAGGTGATTTCGGGCTTTGGCTAATTGAACAAAAAGGAAAAAAGTAAAATATAAGCCCAAAATGCTTGCCAATTCATAAATTTAAAACCCAAACAGCCTCGTGACTCAGAGCGTCTCGGCCAATTAAAATGTCGTAGCCATAAATGTTCGTATTACGGTTTTGCTTATTAATTTGCATAATTTGTTCTCCGGGAAGAGACTTTCGACCGCCCGCAGAGTCCACGAACTTGGGTTTGGTCAATTAATGCTAAGCGACCCAGGGTCGAAATGAATATGTTGCATCATTATCATGGTTATTGTCCTGTTCAGGGGCGATAAGTGGCGGGCGGAACGCGTCACGCAGGTTTTTCTTTTCATTTGGTTGGTCATACAGCAGATTGTTGTATACCCTAAGTGGTTCCGTTTGTAGGTGTTCACCGTAATCTGGACAACAGGTTGACCCTTTCTACGGCTCGCCTGGCGCCACTCGATCAGCTCCGATAGAGAGACCACGCTGGGCTAATGGTTCTGGGTGTCCCCTCTCATTTTCCCTGATGTTTTTCCTTATCCGAGTACAACTTCATTTCCCTTTGGTGTCTGCCAATTTTCACTTGCAAGCCATTAAAGACTAAAAATAAATGAAAATGCCTGGAAATAAGTATCATAAAAGAGTTTTAGAGGAAGGGTTGCGGGCCAGAGGCTCTCATGCCACATTGTTGTCACATATGTCAAAAAATTAGTCTCCTCTTGACTCGACCTCGGGAATGGCGTCAACATGCTCCAACGTTGCTCCTGGGTTGGCCTGGCCCTCACCCATTTGATGGCTCATTGCGGTTCGCCTTTCGCCTGATTAATTTCTAAATTTAAGCGGCGACATTTTCCCGGGTAAGCAATCAGGCAGGGAATTGCCTGGCTGCCGTTTTATTTACGAAACAATTTTAATTGCCTGACAAGCGAATTAATTCAGTGTTTGTTAATTGAATTTGATCTGCAGATGTCTAGCAGTCGGCTCAACCTGAAAGGCCACTGGGAAAGCAGGGCTAATGTAAATCCTTTCTCCGATCTCGATTTACATTTCTTTTTCGTTGTTGTTTACCTAGCCAGACAATTTCTCATTCTCAGTCGGGTAATTCTTTCAACTGGCTATTTGGTCCTTTTGTTCGGCTGTCAGGAGGTGTTCATAAAGTTGGAATGTTTATGGTTAGTACGAGGTCGGGGGCCCACTATCGATGGCCAACACCGATAGGAGCACATCCTGTGATAATGAGCGCATTTATCCATCTGATCTCTGTGATGATAGACAAAAGAAACAGACGCCGCCTTTGGTCAGCGAATTCAAGGAATGGGGGAATGTGCTTCATTATTGGTATTTGATTCTGAAGAAGTTGGTAACAAGAAGAGCCCTTTTGAAGTGGCCTAAAAGGCAATAGCCACGTTGTATTTAAAGAGTGTTTCTGTTTACTGATCATAGCTACTGGAAGATACCATATGTTTCTATAGATTAAAACCAACTACCATTTGCTTAGCCAAATCATTTAATCATAGCCCTTGATTGTTGCAGAAAGACTTCACCGACGACTGCGTCTTCAACGAGAACATGGGTCTGCAGAACTACAACACGTACTCCTCCACGTATCACTCGCATTCGAAGCGTGTCTTCTACTTGGCCCTTAATGGCAGTGGCCAGCCCCGGCGTACCCAGATTCCAGCCACCCGATCGCTGGGAAAGCTGAGCACCTATACAAATGCCATAACAGAGACAGTGCCGCAGGAGCGGGTCGAGCAGCTGATCGCCAAGAATTTTGGTGCCAATCGCGTTAAGCACGGCGTGCGGCAACTTTGTGATACGGGCAAGCCGCTGATCGAGCTGATCGATGTGGCCAGATTCAAGGGGCCGCCACATTGTAACAGCAACACTAGTGGCAGCAGCAGTAGCAGTAGTAAAAGTAGTAGCAGTAGCAGTTACGTTCCTGTGTCTGCAATCAGCAGCCTGAGTAGTATTAGTAACAGTAGTCAAAGCGAGAGCGGCCATATTAGCAGTAGCCTTAGCAGTAGCAATAACAGTAACAGTAACAGTAACAGTAATAGTAGTAGCAATAGCAGTAGTAGTAGACCAAGTGGTAACAAGGCCAACAAGAAGAAAAAGCCCAAGTGCAAGCCGCACGAGCAGGAGGACACTCATAATTGCCAAAAGCGTGGAGGAGCTGGAACGGGAGCGGGAGCTAGTAATTTGAGAAAACTGGGGCCCAAGGCGAAAAGATGCAAGGAACTGCGTGAAAAAGCGGCGGCCGAGAAACGAGCCCCGCCCAATTGTGGCAAGAAGAATGGAGCCAGGAAGAATCCTATAGAGGCTGCCAAAGGAGTAATGCAGCAGCGAGCGAAGGGAAATATCCAGCAGGGTGGCAAGAAAAAGGCGAATAAGCAGGGAAAGCAGCGGCCAAATGGTGGCAAGAAGCAGCAGCAGCAGCAACAGCAGCAGCAGCAGGCACATCAGGCTAAGGCCGTTTCCGGTGGCAAGCGGAAGCATCGAAAATTGGATACAAGTACTACCACCACGATGGCTACCAGTCTGGCCACACCTCCCGGAAGTCACTGGGAGAGCAGTTCGCCCCTGCCTGCTTTTTCTCCCAGCGAAACCAGCGATCGAGTGGAGCGCAATGTGCGCATGAACAGCGGCGAGGATGCGGATCAGGATCACGAACACGATCAGGATCAAGAGCAGGCTGAGCCGTCGGAACAGGGCGATGAGGATGCTGACGGCGATGGTGGATCCCTGGAGGATGCCAGCTACGAGGACGCCAGTTCCGAGGCGCAGGGACGCAGCGGTGCAGCCGGCGATGATTCGCTCTACTACGATTTGTGAGTTTCCCATAAGAAAATTCTTTGCTAACCCTTCATCTATTTCTCACAAAACAAAACGATAATTACGTAGAGATTTTCTAAATTCTTTTGCAAATTTCTAAATTTAAACAATAACTTTTTTAATATACTTTATGGATTGGAAGTTCAACATTTCTAAATTTTTCTAAAATTATTAAATATTTTCCTTTTGGGATTAACATTGATTGGAATTTTCCATAACCTTGAATATTTATAGAATTTAAAATTATTTTCCAAATTTATTTCACACATTTTGTACTTTTTGGTTATTATTTATTTATTTGGTTGTTGTGCTTTATTTTATTTTTTTATTTTTCAAAATTTAAAATTATTTATTTGGGCCTGCAAAATGAAATCAAAACGTTCAAAATGTGGAAAATTCAGATAAAATCAGTGAAAGACTGTTGAGAAAAAAGAAAGTTGAGAAAAGAGAAGGAAGGATGTGAAAATGATGTATAAAGTCTGGCTTGAGTATGAAAAAGATTATGTAATTGCAAGTTTCCACAACAAATACACACACACCAACAGTCACCCACCTTACTACACAGCACATTCAGCACCAGATGCACACCATATAAATATATATATATATCATCAGTGTGTAAATATTTGATATATCATACATACCCCTACATAGGACTGTGGTTCACTAAAGTATTTTTGATGCAGCGGACTGTTGTCCCCCCGGCGATGATCCAGGTCAATGCCAGTGGCCCACTAAAGACGATGAATATCAATGTATTACAACGGAGTCTCGAGTATTTTATAAGAACCTCTCAAGCCAACAATTTGGATTATAATCACCATCGAAAAGTAAACTAAACGCACGCCCATCCAATCAGATAGATGTAAAAATGAAAAAAAATCGAAGCCATAACCTTACGCAACGCGAATGACCCAAAGAGTCTATTGAAATACTTGAGTCTCTGTATCTGCGGAACTTTCACGTTCACGTCGACGACGAAAAATACTCAAAAATACGACCACAGCGATAAGTCAACCAGAAAACATGAAAATGAAAATGAAAACTTGCAAAGCGCTTTCCCAATATTGTAAACGAGTGAAGCGGTGAAAATTCGAATACTAAATAGTATATGTCGAGGGAATCCATTTGTAAATAGATCCACGATTTAGTCGTAAGATCAATTTTTTTGTCACTGTGTATTGTCGAACCTCGCTGCCTCTCTCAGTGCATAGCCTAAGCTCTGTAAATCAATTTTCAATGCAAATTTTCCTTAATGGAAACTCGAGGTGGAAATCCCTATGCGAAAACAATAAAACCAACGACACATCGAAAACTATTATTCAATAAATAAATAAATAAATGAGAAAAAAATATAGGAATGCAAAACTCACAAATCAAAAGATTGTATTTTTATTTTAAAACTACTTATGAAACTAACATGTAATATTAATTTATTCGATCGATGAGAGATAAGCGTGAAATTATAGTTTGTAGCTTGTATGATGATGGAGTTATTTATTTATTTGAAAATATTTATTTATAAACTACTTCTAAGACGCTTAGGCTCTAGACTAACAACACTTTGTTATAATTTAATGCATTAAACAAACATTTTCCAGATAAGTGAGTAAAATGATCAACGAAAAAAGCATGAGAAAAACGAGAAAAGCTAAACTAAACAAAATAAAATTAAAAATACATTAATATCAAATCGAGAATGTGTTTTAGTCGTACGATGGTAAGAGGAGTAGTCCTTGTAAAAGGTTTATATCCAATATGATGAGTTTTCTGCATGAAATTAAAAAATATTTTTAGGATTTTGCACGTTGCCCGAGTTAAATCAAAAAAATTTACCAAATTGTTACAATTCACTCATTTTATTTTTGGCATGGTTTTTACCTATATAAATCCAAATCCCAAAATCCCTTTCTATAATTTTCTGTGCCCATTACAGCCTGTGCCTGCAGCTAGTCGTCCTGGTCTTGCTTCACACCCAAGTTATCTAGTAAAGGGATGTTTAACCTTCGATCTATTGCCGCAACCTATTGGACTACCGATCCACACAACAAAGCTAAAGTTCCTGATCATTAAGCATAAGAGTTCTAAAGTTAAAAGTACAAATAGGGTATAATATTTACGTATTTATCATTTAAGACTGAAAAAAGAACACAAGCTAAAACTACTGTAAATAAACTAAAATATTCTAAAAGCTAATTTAGCAACCTGTGTTATCTTTCGATTTATTGGTCTGTTTGAGCCGCTTGGGGAATATTTCATTATGCTGATTAAATCCCAGTGTCATCATTATGGCACACATTGATTGCGCTAATAACAGGTGAGCAGATAAAGCTGATTGCTCTGGGAGAGCAGGCAGCAGGTAGCACCTAGGCAAAAAACGCTCTCATAATATGCTGATATCAGCTGACTACAGTCAAAGACCTTTCTAGAGGCGCGCCAGCACGTGCTGAAAACGTATAGATCATGTGGTTGGGACTAGATCGAGAGAGATCGCAGATCAGAGAGCGACGACGATTTTAAAATTACAGTCAAACCTCTATAAATCAAAGTTAAATTTTGTATTTATATTATTTAAAGAACTTCAGCTTTATTAAGCTATAACTTAATAATGTTGGTTAATTAAAATCTTCAAAAGTAGGTAAAATGTATTTCTAAAAATATTTTAAAAAATGTATAAAGTTTCAAAATTTTCTTTTCTAAGTTAATTTAGTTTGGCGCGTGCCAAATATTTCCATAAAATAAATTAACAAGTTTGTTGTCAGCCAGTAGTTCCTATTAAATTTGCTCCCCTGTAAATGGATAATAGAATAAAGTTGAGCTAACTACGCTCGGATTACGGGCGAGGAGACTCGTGCCCTGTGCCCCCGTACCCTAGTCCGGAACCGCAATAGCGGTACCCAGTTCAAATCGTTCCGATTCCCCTGTGTGAGACAAGTCACGTAGGCCTTGAAATGGCGAAATTGCTGCTCGCTGCTGGTCGCTCATGTTCCCGCATTCGCATTCATTCAAACGCTGCTGAATTTTTCGCATGAATAGGCGAAACACGAGGCACAACCAGCCCCCACAGCAGCCCAAAAAAACAGAAGGGGGAGAATGAAAAGAACACCGCTCGCCCACCCGAAACCAATCTGAACAAAAAGTATGTATAAAAAGAGACCCGCCGGAGAACCCGGGCAGTCCAAGAACCCGAGAATCCAAATCCGAATCCGAAGTGCTCTTGGCAACATAAATTGGAACGAAAGTCCCCCGATTCGATCGTAAAGTAAAGCTAACGTAAGCATAAAAGAGCGGGTGACGTCGTCGTCGTCGGGCTTGTGGTTTCCACTCGAATGTTTGTCGCACGCTCTCCACGCGCATTTCCGGGGCTTATCAGCTGCTCCGGCGATGATCACCATTATCATTATCATATGGCTATGGCTATGGCCTATGGTCAGTCCAACCAGCTATAACCTGTTATCAAAGTCAGCTGTCTGAGAGCGTTAATTGGTCGCCTGATTAAAGAAGTTCATTTGGGAGAAGGCAGTGAACTTATAGGTCTTACGTACAAATTTTGTCAAACCTGAACCTTTGACAGCATGAAATGTTGCAAAACTTTGGTAATTTTGTTTACCATTTGCTTTTGCCGTCATGAGCTTATAGCCGCCATAACTTATATCTGCTATATACCTACTAAAAAATTAGATTGCATTGTTTTTAAAGGGTTTTCCAGCCTACTAGACGATAATTATATGGCTGTATTTTTTCAGTGATAAATATAAATAAATGGTTTTTAAGTTGCAGGTAGCAATAACAATTAAGAACAGAGAATTAAGATATTCTTATTTTCTAATACTTTTTGCTTGTTTATTGTTGCTTAATTATTGCTTATTTTTATTAGTTGTTTTTTAAAACAGTTAAAAGGTTGATTACATTGTTTTTAAAGGTTTTTCTACTTATTTTTTGACAATAATTTAGTTATCTTAATTAAATTAAATTGTCTATGAAAGTAGCAATAATAATTAAAAACTGAGCAATTAAGACATTTCCAATTTTGTAGTAGTGAATGACAATAGGGTTGTAAAATAAGATTAAATTAATAGTTTCTTAATAAGCAACTATAGTTATGGGCATAATGTATTTTGTTTGTTAAAAAAATATTCGAAAAATGTTATAACAAAAATGTTTGACTTGACTTTCTCGTTTCATTTTATTCAACATTCAATTTTGCTGATATTCACACAAACATCACAGCAGCAGTGACATTTAAATTTTGGCAGGTTGCAGATAAACTTTTACGATTTTGAGGTCTACGTGACGTATGGAGAATACACCCGTGGTGATTCACAGTGATCGACTTTAGTGTGGGCATGCCCCCAAACTGCTTCTCCGTCCAATCAACTGCACCTGCTCAATGCCATTGCCATTGCCATTTGCAGTGCCAATTCGTGAAATTCAAGTGGCAGATTAGATAGATTTATTAATGAACACCCACACAAATCCGGTGATACTAATTTATTGCCTTGACATCTAACAAGTGTTCTCTATCATCTTGTGTGGGATGCTGGCGAGGAATCTAACATGAGAAAGTCTTTTTATGGAATATTTTTTGATCAAATGGTAGTAAAAAAAAGTCAACTCCATACTTTTTACCATTGAATGGAAGCAAGTCGTTGCTGGGTGATACTTGGTATAAAAAGGTAAGTGGTGGTCGACTTGGAATTTACATAAAAGAAGTTAGATGTTTATTTCGATAATAGGTAAAAAATAGGTAAGCTATTTTACTTAAAACTGGGAGGCGTTGATTTGATTATCATATGTATAATAACTTATATTTGTCGAAAAGTTATTTTGTCGAAGTTGAAGGTTGAGGGTGCTTATAACGGTTATGATAATGACTTGTAATGGCCCTTGTAATAATATTAATATATGGTTAACATGTAAGTCTAATTAAAGTTTCATAGTTAAAAATAGCAAAAGAACAATGCATTATGGTCATTGCCGATGCTTGGTTGGTTAAATAGGAAGCTGATCGGCAGCGCCAATTATTATTCATTGATTAAGAGTGACTACTTAGACTTAGAAAGGGAAATATTAAACAAAAAATTAAAAAAGGCATCAAAAGGCATTCCAAAGTTGAATTCAATTAAACAGATTTCAATCATCCGGACATGACGGAAATGTCAGAATCTTTGCCATTCCCGTTGATCTCCGCTCAAGCCACCCTCGGCAGAGTCCGGTTTAGCTGCATTTCTAGTTCATGGCCTGCATTGCGTGAATATGATGAGTACGCTTAATTGGATTAGCTGCGATGTCTGCCGGGAAATGGAAATGGAAACGGAGACGAGCTAAAGAGCCAAAGTCACTGAGCGATTGCATAACAAGCCGGTTCGGCCAGTCGGTCGGAAAAGCGTGTGAAATGGAGTTGTAACCGGCATGATATTCTATTTACTAAATAATTGGACACAAATGTCGCCGACGATGGGAGAGCATGTCCATCAAAATGCCAAGTTGCTTATGCAAAATGTTTCTCATGCTAAAAAAAGCAATATTGGTGAAAAAAAAATTCACTTGGAGATGCGGGGCATCGATCCCCGTACCTCTCACATGCTAAGCGAGCGCTCTACCATCTGAGCTACATCCCCTGTTGTATACCTTGTGTCTTATATCCCACCTGAATGCTTTTGTCATACTTGTTGAATAGTGGTAGTTTTGTGTGAGCCCTTTAAGTGTGTAGGAAAAAGCTCTCAGCATGAGCTTTTTGGTTATAAATAAGAATATTTTTTTTTTTTTTGAAAAAACATCTCATTTTAAATATTTTTCTTTCGTATATAAGTTTAATATCTTAAAATTTTAACTATAAACAAAAAATTAAAATAATAACAAAAAATAAAGGAGTGTTCCCGCCCGGGTTCGAACCGGGGACCTTGTGCGTGTGAAGCACACGTGATGACCGCTACACTACGGAAACCTGCCCTGCAAGGATATGCAAAACGCAAAAAGATTATACATAACTTGCTTTAAACTAGGAGCAAAGGATACTGCTCTTACATAAAAAAATAAATGAGGGAAATAACTATAAAATACAACATGCTTGTTGAAAAACATGAAAGAGGAAGTACTTCTCGACCTAGTTTTTCTTTCCCTTTCTCCTAGTTTCTCTGCCAAGTTCAAAGCAATGATAATGATGCACGCACTGTCAACGAAAGACATAAAACTCGCAGGGTGCAACATATTTAGGCCATAACAGCACTTTCTTTAATGGGAATCGGTCCTATTTCCAGACAACCAACCTTTCGCCTTGGGTGGCTCTCGGCTAGGGCTGCAACAAATTGAAGTCGTAAAAGTGTCCGTGAGTTGGAGTCATACCCGGGATGCTGACATTGCAGGCGAGTCGTAAAACAGTTGAAATTCGGTGCGTGCTGAGGGTCGGCGTGTTTATAAATACAACACACCTGAAATGATCGTAAAGGCAGCCTCATTAAAACGATATAAAAACGAATGTGGTTGAGAGAAAATGAATTGAATAAACTTCAATATCACTGCGGAAGTGGTCAGGTGGGAGGTCAATTGACATTGAAATTGAATAGCATGCAAAAAAGTGAAAAGGAAAGGAAACTATTTCCAATGGATTTGAACTGAGAACCTTGTGCGTTTGAAGCACACTATGGAAATCACGCTTACCATCGATAAGGAAATCACTCTTAACGTTTTGGAAACCACCTCATTTATCAGTGTTCGATTTGCATAATTTCCATGTGGGAAAACGCAAGAATTTGTAGACAGAAAACTCTGATTTATGGGCATTCCGATAAGCATGGAGTAAAAGTGTTTTGACTGGCTGGTATAAAAAATTTCTTTGATCTTGGGGCTTAAACTTGAACTAGTTGAAAATTAGCTGGGGAAATAAAGTATCGTTTCCCTTTTTGTTTGATATGAACTGTATGCTGGGGACAAGGTCTATGGTTTGGTTAGACACTAAAAAAGGAGACTTTCATATCATTAAGTCGGGAAATGCGTGCGACGACCCTATAAATAAGCTGCAAAAGCAATTAGGTGGCTTCTGGCCAAAATTGATTGCAAATTGTTCTGGGATGCGGCATTGGTTTTTGCAGGGGCCTCTCTGCGACTGATAAGGGCAATCGCTGGATGCGGATTCTAAGTGGAATGGACACCCGCAATGGCCGGGCAAACGGGTTCAACTGGCCAATGGCGATACAAGTGACAAGTGAACATGGAAAACTAATTTATGTGGCGCATGCGACAGGAAATGCAAGCGGAGCGACTCCACTCCATTCGATTCGATTCGATGAATCGGAATGCCATGTGCAATATGCAATGCAAACCCGTCGACGCGTCGATGCAGTTACTCAATGAAAGTCGGTTCTTGGTTCGTTCGTTCGTTCTTCGTTCTTGGGGACACTTGGCACCTTGGAAAGAGAGAGACCTTGACCGGGTTGTCCCGGCTGGGCAACGGTAATACGAAACCACCGCTAAAACGCAAAACAACTGGCGAACAAGTGAAGAACACATAACCGCCTAACAACACTTTGCTCTTAACAACACCAGCGTCAGCCACTTTTGGACCCGCCGGCTCCTCAATCGAGGACGTGTTAAGGAAGCATATCTATCGCTGGGATCAGAATTTCAAATTGCACAGAGGGTAAAAGTTATAAGTTATACAAAGCTAATCAGGATACCACTATATTGCATCCATCATTAAGAGCTCATTAGAAGGTATTTATTGTGTTACTAGAAAGCTGAAAGGGTAAGTAACATTAATGATCTTTAAAAGGAATTTATTTCTGAAAAGCACAAAACTTGTTATTATTATAGTTTATTTCTCGCAGTGTGAGCCGGTTCCAACTGCGTTTGGCTGCGGGCTAAGACATCACCTTCATCATCATCAGCATCAGCAACTGGCCGCATCTCAACATCATCGCTTGTTGACCAAGTTATGCTACGCGAACAACGATGTGTCATGTCGTACCGCCAGCCAAAGGCAAGATATGGTCAAGTTCCTAGAGTTTGAAGATTGGATAGCCGCGGCCATTCTTCACACCTCCCACAACGGGAGGGCAGAAATTCGCACGCTCGAGGCGCCAGCCGATCCTAACCAGCTGGGCTGGCCAAGAACTCCCGATTCCTGATTTGATCGGACCTAGACCACAAGCTCCGCTGCGGGCCATCAACAGCCACATTGATCTTCCTTGCCCGTCTGCGGTTGCATCTTCATCTCTTATTAATCGCCCCATTTATTTGATTATCTCCGGGGCCAGCGGACTGGCTTGGGATAGATTTATGCCTCGGCGGCGTAATTTACTCGCTAATCATGCAACACTTTTCATTTTGACACGTTCGGGCGGCTCTCACCAAAGCACCGCCAGCGGTAATTATGTAAATTTCCCCACCGATACCAGTCGATCCAAGTCGACCCAAACCGATTCGATCCTCGGCCTTACCAATCCATTGGATGCCGGGGGGTGCCATTTTATGATCTATGCCTGCTTCGTGCTTAGAAGCGAACTTAACACAAATTGATAAAAGCAACATCAACAACATGGGGCGCTCGACTGCGGTCTTGGACTATTTTTACGATCATCGATCCCGCGTTCTTCTTGTTTTCACTGGCGAACACATCGTCTTACATAAATTACGGACAAGGACCCGGACTGGCACCAGGTCCGGTATAGAATTCCAGGGAAAATGCATCGCACATCGGCCCGCCTGCTTGTGTTTTGACACCAAACATCCGCTCTAAGCCGCAGCCACAGCGAAAGGGGTTAGGGTTTAGCCATCTGATTCGGATTCCCATTCCCAAATCCCAACCAGGATCGGGCGGGGGCAACAACTGATCTTGTTAGCCGTTGCCGTTCATGCGCATGACTGCAATTTAAGCGCCATAAATTCTGTTTCCAGTTCCCCATGTCGAAGGCAATATGTCAAAGTTGTTATGCCCTTGCAGTATATAGGGCAAGAGGGGTATGATAGGCTTACCTTAACACATAGTAAAAATATGTATCATTTTTTATGAAATAAGTAAGTAAGTCTGGTGTTTTAAAATTATCATCAAATAATAAATATTAAAGTTATACTTTATTTTCTAAGAATGTTTTCATTTATTATTTATTGTAACTCACAAAAAACGGTTTTCCAATTTTTAACTTGAAGAAAGAATCAAGAAGAGCCAAGAAGAATATTTCTTGCATTTCCAAAATTAGAGGTATTTTTAGTCGAACCCTTCGAAAGAATATAAGATTTCCTTGAGACTTACTCGAGCATGATGCCCTTTCAAGCACTTTCCTATAATGTGAGGTTGCATTAGATGACTTAATAAGATTTTCGTTGGGCATGGTTTGGGGTGGTTAGGCAGCTGAATTGGATCCGCTTTCAAGTGGTTGAGGGCCGGATAACAGCAGTGTCATTAGCTGAGGCTTTGCTGTGACATATGCAAATGTGAAAGGTAATTAAACAATCCTTCAAGTGGTAACTTCGAGAGACATAAATTAGTGCTTAGCATTATAAATAAGCACAAACAATTTCAGTATTTTCTACACGATTAATAACGCCAATTAATCGCAGCAATGGCGGCTGGCAGCAATCATTGCCATGTAACTGACAAACTGGTCGACAGTTGCTAATGAATTAATCAGCGTGGAGATTAGATCGCAGATTTGCGATTCTGGATCTGCGATCGGTGATCAGAAACCATTCAGGCAATCGCATAAAGAGCGTAGGCATTTAATTGCCCCAGCAGACAATAATATTAGCGGTGCTACTGACAAATGATAATTGGTATTTGCATGACAATTAGAGTCGCCATCACATTGCTGCCAAGATCGGATCAGGTGGGCGCCAGGCGTCTTTGAGAAGCTGCCTTAGGAGTCCGAGCCAAATGCCATTGGTCACGCCGGCCACTTCCTGCATATTTTCAAGCCGGTTTATGTATATACATATAAGTATCAAGAGCTCCAGTCAGTCGGCCCATGATCAATGGTGCAGACTCTTATGAATCTTGAACACTAATGCCCCCGAAAATGCGCCACAAGGATCGGATTTCTTGAACTTGACATTGAAAACACCGACGACGACAACGACGACGTCGGAGCAGATGAAGATGCTCCTTGGGCTGTCAATCCGCTTACCCAACGGAATGGTGCGATCATTATCACTGATCCCCAACCAAATTAATTCCCGGTCCTAAGTGGCTCTTAATTGTTGCAGTTTATTTCGGGAGTGCACCCAAGCATCGATCTGGATTCATTTAGGAGGGGCATGTCACTCAGTGAAAGAAGGGGCAGGGTCGATCTGTGGCGGGGGCAAAAGTATCCAGTTGCAATGCTGACAAGATCACGTACAAAGTGCAACTTTGCTTGGCTGTCAATCAAATGATGATGTTATTCCGTTCGCCCATCACCAAAGGGTTTGTTCAACTGGAATGTGAACCATTAGGTACTCGATAAATCGCTGCGAGGGCCGTTTGATATCTTCAGCTGTTTGTCTTAAGGTGATGGTTCTAATCTGCTTTTGTGCAAAGTGATGGCACTCTTAAGATTCTAGAAGCCTTAATCCGAATGCTTTACATTAAAGTATGATGACCTTTAGTGTCTCAAAGAGTATAAATAAATTTTATCTTAGCTTTATCTTTTTTGATATTATTGATTTTCTCAGTTATCAGATAATATTATGGGGTGATTATTTCATAGCATTATATTTCATCAAAATATTTTCAATAGAATAATCTTTTATTTGCTATTGTCAAAATGAATGTGATAATGACTATACCTCTCAACTGAGGATTAGAGATAATTTTTTCATCAGTTTCTTTAATTGCTTGAAAATTATGTATTCTTTTTTTAACTATCTGAAAGTTTATTTTCTTAAACTGATATTCAGAATGAATTCGATAATTTCCTTATCATGTTCTGTGTTTCCAAACTCCAATTGATATTTGAGTAATATCTTTACATTGGCTTAAAGTTCGTCGTGGTGAATTAAAGATTAGCCATTTTACGCAAGTTTGCACTACAAGCGCACTTCTAAGTTCTTAGCAAAGCGTTATCATTATCCGAAATCGTTTCCCAAGGAATGTTAACCTCTGATGGTAACATTACCTTGAACGACATACCGTACCCCCATCTCCGTTACCATTGGTGATCAATGAAAGACCGTACGCAACTATCGCACCTGGGACGCCATAACCAATCACCGGGAGATAAGCCGTCGATATCAAGCAATGGCCCCCGAATGTTTCGGCCATCTAAAACATTTTTGGTTTGCCTATATCTGGGTTTGTTGTTTTTATATATTTTTGGCAGTACTTGAATGGTAACCGGATGAGTCACCCGTTGGTAATAACTAATTGTTTTAAAGCCTAACAGAATTAAGTGTATTAAATGATTAGTGCCCGTTGGCGTAGTCCGACCATTTTTTGCCCAGTGCCTGATCGCGTGCCTGCTGTCGTAAAACCTTGCCACTTCCAGTTTTTGGCAACTCAGTGAGGAAGAAGACACCACAATGGAGCTGTTTGTGCTTGACCACCAGTCGCTTGGCCACATATTCCACTATGTCCATTTCGGTGAGTTTACTTCCGGGGACTTTTACAACTGCCGCAGCCGCAGGATCACCATCTACCTCATTCCAGAGTCCAAAGACGCAGGCCTCGATCACATCTGGCAACTCGGCGATGACCTGCTCCAGTTCTTGGGGATAATACTGGGCGCCATGGAAGCGTAAAAGATCCCCCTTTCTCTCCAAGATGTGCAGGTAGTTTTCGTCATCGAAGTAACCCATATCCCCAGTGTGGAACCATCCTTGGTAGTCCTGCATCCGTTTCGATTCATTTGGATTGGCGTAGTAGCCATTCCAGACTTTTCCATTGTGCACCAGGATCTCTCCTGTCTCTCCGTGTCCCAGACTTCGACCGGCATCATCCAGAATCTTTATCCGCACTCCGGGCACAATTCTGCCCACCGAAGACGGCTTGGACACTCCCATATTAGCCGCAACTCCTCCGCACTCGGTCAAGGCATAGCCATAGGATATCTGCCCACTGATCAGGAAGTCCTGTAGTTTTAGAAGATTGGCCACATAGCAAGAGCCGCCACCAACGCTGACGAATCGTATGCTGGCCAGTCTCTGCTTGCTGAGCGTGGGAGCCTTCAGAAGCGAAGCCACCTGCTGTGGCACCACTGTCAACAGGGTCACCTTGTACTTCTCCACCAACTGCAGCATATACTCCGGAGTGTAGGCTCTATCGGTGATTATCCGAGTGGATCCGTGGCAGCAGCTAAAGAGCATATTAAACATTCCCGCTGACCAGTCGATGGTGCTGAACGTGAGCAGTACATCCTGGCCAGTAACAAATCTAAAAATATTGTGAATAGTTGTTAGATGTTTTTGAGGGAAATGTGTATATATATATACTTCCTTTAAGAAATGTTTCCCAAACCCTTTTGTGCCTCATCATGATGGCAAAGAACTTACCCAAAGTCAAACAAACAAGCTGAGTTGCTGATGCAAACGGCCTTTGGTAATCCCGTGGTTCCTGAAGTGCACAGAATGGCCACAGTATGATCGCCGCCCAATAGAAGAGTTTCAGGTCTGTTAAATACAGAAGTCTTAGAACAAGCTTAGATGGTCATAGAAACAGCCCTACACATAGAATAGTTCAGCCTTAGTGGGTTCCAGAAGATCCTCGACCCTCGGCATGCCCAATCGATGATCCTTTAAGGTGTAGACATGGCTCTTAAGTATCCTGGCAATAATGCTCAATCTCTGGTAGACATATCCATCGCAAAAGATGACCCTCGGTCGGGTGATGGAGAACAGATGCTTCATAGTGTCCTCGTCATGCCACGGACTAACCGCATGGAATGGTGTGCCATTCAGAAGACATCCCAGCACCACTGGCATTAAGTAAGTGGTGTTGGTACCTGCAATGCCCACCACATCGTCTTGTTTCAATCCCATTGCTTTCAACTGCTGAGCAATCCGGATGGCAAAGGTTATGGCTTCGCCATTGGTTAAGGCTGTGCCATCCGTATCTGAAATCTTCGGAGGAATCGCTAATTATTTGGATTTAAAAGCATTACAAAGCCATTTACCCACCTGACATATGCTGGACGGATGGTTCCGCATAAAGGCAAAAAGAATTTTACCAATCGAACAGTCCACATCGAAAAAATTCGCCGGCCTTGGTCCACTCCAAATTTTAGTATATTTATCGAATTGTGTGCTCGAGCGTTCCATTGTGGCGACTGATAAGACTAGCCGGGTATCAACAAATGGCTTTCTGTCCGGGCGTGAGTCCGTGTCCCGATCGAATAACGTTTCTTCAGCAACTGGCGACCGCCCGTAATGTTCCGGACATTTGCAGTCCAAGTGGAATATTATCGCTTCCAATCGCCTTCCAAGCGATTCACTACGTCATCGATATGAGGGCGAAGCTCGAAAAGCTTACTGATAAGCGGTACCAGAGAGATAAGCCAGCCGCGAAAGAGTTTTGAGATATTTTCCCTGATAGTTGAAACTTAATTTGAGTGAGTTATGGGCAGATAAATGTAAAGACCTTGACTGGGCGAATTTCCCTTTCATGACCCACTTATAATTAATCTTTTCTAAGATAAGATAACATAAATAAAAGAAACAATAGGATAAAGGGATAAAAAGCTCAATCCAGTTTGTAATCATTGTAGTTTATTTAGTAATCATATTGGGTAATATAACTTATGCTCAAACTGAATTAATTAATATTAATTTCCTAACTTTGGTACGATATTTTTTGGAAGATTCTACATAAATCAATGAATATGTTATCTTTAAAATCCTAAATAGATTTGTAATACTTCATGTAAAAAAAAAAAAAAAGTGTTGGATTGCCATTTTAGGTTGAATTCTTAGCCTCCAAGAAAAACGCTTTGTTGGCCATGCGGTTCGTTTTACCATTAGGACTCCGCACCAGATCCTCCACGATGATGGCTCCTCCATTTAACTGCTTATACTTAGCATCAATATGTGTTGCCACGTAATCTACAACGTCTTGGGCTGTAAGGTTACTGTCCAGTTTCTTTACCACAGCTGCAGCAGCCTCATCTCCGTAGATGTTACTCCAAACTCCAAAAACACAGACCTCAACCACTTCGGGCATCTCGGAGATGACACTTTCAATTTCATTGGGATAGTACATGATGCTCTGGTACTTTAACATGTCCTTTTTGCGCTCCACAAGGTATATGAATCCATCATCATCCACGAATCCGAGATCACCGGTGTGAAACCACATCTGGGAATCTCGAATCTTGTGAGTTTCCTCCGGATTGCCGTAATAGCCAGCCCAGTATTGATCATTGCAGATGCACAGCTCTCCTACCTCGTTTGGGCCCCAGGGACTTACCCTTTTCACAGATTACCTTCAGCTTGAGTCCAGAGACGACTCGTCCCACCGAGTTAGGTTTCTCATCGAAGTGAAAGTTTACAGAGACCATGCTGCCTAGCTCTGTAAATCCGTATGCAAACTGCAGGCAGTCACTGCTCAATCGTTTCCTGATCAGATGCTGGATTTCCACTGAAGCCTTGGATCCTCCGAAGCGATAGTATCGCAGACTGGACAAGTCGGATGTGCTAAACGCCGGGGAGTTAATCATCATGGCCATATGAGATGGCGCCTGAAGTATCCACGTGATCTGGTGCTCCTCCACGAGTCGCATAAAGAATTCCGGCTCAAAAACATTGTCCGCAATGATGCGTTTGGTACTGAATACTCCGGATAAGATGGTGGTCAGAAGCCCAGTAATCCAATCGACAGTGCTATGACAGTACTGAACATCGTTGGTTTTCAAGCCGCTAGGGAAAGGAAGAATTACTTTAAGATATCAAAAGACTATTGTCGCTACTTACTAGTTGGTATTAAGGATCTGTCGACTATTCGTTATTGTTACAGCCTTTGGTATTCCCGTAGTGCCTGATGAGCAGAGAATAGCCAATGTTTGATCGTTGCCCTGTTCTAGACGAGCTGGCTGGAAGTTTTCCTCAATGGGAGTGGCCAGAACTTCATCGATCCGTATGGAATCCGATGGATGATTACGCATGGTGACAATCTTTACATCCAGTTGAGCGGTGGCAGCTCGAACCTTATCAAACTCATCACCATCGCAGAATATAATCCGAGGCTTGGTGATGTTGAACAGCTTTTCTATTGTACTCTGCTCAAATAAAAAGTTGAGCGAGTGGAAGGCAATTCCATTGAAAAAACAGGCGTAGGCAACAGCTGAGATGTGGGTGGTGTTCCTGGCTATAATGCCCACCACATCGGACTGGAAAAGATCCAAGGATCGCAAATAGCTGGCAACGTGCATGGAATTGGCATGGAGGTCTGCTCTGGTTAGTATCGTGTTCTCCGTTGCCGAAATCTGAAATATCGCTTTTAGTTAGTAATTTCACAATTTTACTTTTTGGTTTACCCACCTGAGCTATCAGTTGTGGATGTCTTCGCATTTCCTGGAAGATAATCTCTCCTATAGACAGATGTGGGTCAAAGTAGTATTCCAATTTGCCACCGCTCCAGATCCTAAGATCAGCATCATAGAAGTTAGCTGGCCTGTAAGGCATTTTGTAAGACCACAAGCCGATCACTGTTCGTAATAAGTTTAAATTCCCGACTGAATGCAAAGTGCAGCTGCAGTTCTTCTTTTATAGAGAGGATCGTTCCATTAAGTGACTATTTTTCTTAATTCTATTAGATAACTTTCACAAGGGCACAGACTCACATATATATATTTTATTTTTATTAGTGTTCTAACAGACACGCGATTACAATCGCACTTATGATCAAAGTGGTCGAGCATGTGCGGCAATCTCCATAACAAAACACTAGCTTACTGTGTTAGTAATTGGCGTTAGACCCAAACACCTCGCAATGACTTGACAGATTCTCAATAGGAAAAACATATTTCATTGCATGTGGATTGTAAATATTGCAAATATTGGTATATTGATTAGAAGTTTGGGAAAATTAATTAATAGTGGTGGGATAATAGGTAATTTGTTGAGATGCACTTTGTTTGTAACCTTAGAAAGGAATTTAACTCCGGGTTTTTATCTTATAATGCTTGATATCAGTCAGCAACACAAATTTTTAAGTGGTATGGCTTTTTTTCACTAACTCTAATTGACCGTGGTAAGTAATTGTAATCAACAATTTGGACGTTTTGATTAGTTATAGTCATTGTAGTTCAATAATAAGTGATTTTTATCAAAGAGCTGCAAATAGTATCTTTCTATTGAGTGTTACTTATGTTTCAAGTTCAATCAGATTCAGAGAGTTATGTTCAGCCAGAACTAAAACTAAAGCATCGTTTAACTGAGGGAAACATTTGAAAAACATGTAAATATTTTGTATTTATTAATGAACAGTGTAACTTATTAATGGGATGTGTTCAGTGAACATTTTATTGTGTTGTGGAAGTTCAACTTTGCCTCGTCATGGTTTACATTTAAACAAAGTTTATGCTTAGTAATTGTTGATTGAGGGATTATCAATATACTTTAAGACTGAGTCGCATCTCTCAAGTAGGCCGCCTTGACGGCTTGTCGATTGACCTTGCCGTTGGCGCTCTTTGCCAGTTGCTTAACAATCTGGACTCCACCATGAAGATGTTTAAACTGCACGGATACATTTTTCTTTACAAACTGTTCCACGTGCTTGGGATCTAGTTTACTGCCAGATCGCAGAACCACAGATGCTGCAGCGGCATCTCCCTCTGTCTCCCGAAAGATACCGAAAACACAAACCTCTGCAACGTCGGGCATCTGGGCGATTACTTCCTCCACTTCATGCGGATAGTACATCATGCCCAGGAACTTCAGCATATCTTTTTTGCGCTCCACAATGTGCAGGCAATGATCTTCGTCAAAGTAACCCACATCGCCGGTGTGATACCAACCGTCTGAATCTCTCATCTCAGCCGTTGCCTGAGGGTTTCCCACATATCCACTCCAGGGTTGTCCATTGTGGCAGAGGACCTCACCCAATCCTTTCGGGCCCTGCAACTGCCCCGAAGAGTCCACAATCCTTACCCGAATATTTGGCAAAAGGCGACCCACTGAAGTGGGTTTAGTTTGGGTGTTGTAGTTGTATGATATCAAAGTTCCCACCTCAGTCAGGCCATAGGCATTCCTTAGAATTCCAGATCCGTGGAGAAAGGACTGCATCTTCTTTAAAGTACCCACCAGGCAGTGACCACCAGCGAAGAGCAGATGCCTAAGACTTCTTAGCTTTTGTGCATTTGTGTTCGGGCAGTTGGCCAACATGGCCACATGGGAGTTGGCCATGATGGTCCAGGAGATCTCATGCTGCTGGCAAATGTCCAGGAAGTGAGCGGTGCTAAACATTTCACTGGAAATTAAACGAACTGTGCCAAAAACTCCAGCTGTTACCAGGGTTATGAGCCCCGTCAGCCAATCCAAGGTGCTGGGAGCATATTGAACGTCATCGGAGCCTAAGTAGCTAAAAAATAAATTGTGATCTGTTATTTTGAAGGGGGAGAGACTGATAGGTATTAAAAATAGTAAGATAAGCAATAAACTGTTTCGAAAGGACATTTTACACTGTTATAATTTTTAAAGCTTAAAAATCTACCTGTGAATCTCGAATAGCTTTCGGCTGTTTGACAGCGTCACGGCCTTGGGAGTTCCAGTGGTGCCAGAAGAGCATAGGATAGCCATGGTACGATCAACACCTCGTTGGAACTGCGCTGGTTCGTAGTCTTCAGGAAGGGGATTCTGCAACAGATCTGCCACACTCATCACACCCTGCAACTTTCCATTAACAGTCATAACTGGAGTTCCCAACGATTCTCCTATATCCTTGATCTTTTCGTAGTCCCCAATATCGCAGCACAAGATGCGTGGCTTGGTGATCTTATAGAGACTGGCAATGGTCTTTTGCTCCAAATTAGGATTAACAGCGTGGAAGGGAGTTCCGTTGAAGAGGCAGCCATAGGCCAAAGCGCCGACATTGGTGGTGTTACGGGCTATTAGTCCCACCAAGTCAGTTTCCTTTTTGAATCCTTGATCTCGAAGATAGCAGCCAACCTTGGATGCATTCTGGAGCATCTGGGAACGGGTCAGTCGCGTGTTATCCGTGTGCGAGATCTGGAATATCCTTTGGGACTTCCGTTGCAGCTGCCGGAAGATGATCTGGCCCACGGTCAGCTCATCGTTATAGAGACTCTGCTGGATGGAGCCACTCCACACCTTCTGATCGGGATCGTAGCTGGTCGCGGGATTGCCGTTAAGGTCCAACATCGTGATGCACGCACGGTTTGCAACTGTTGCACATTCGCCTGCCGACAGGTCTATTTAAAGGTCAGCGAAATTGGAAAAATTAGCCGGCAATTTAGCAGTTAAAGTGTCCGGATATTTAATTTCACCTATTGATTGCCAAGCCGTTCGCTTGACACGATATCACCGCGGAAAACCGTTTGCCAAATCAGATGATTATCAAACTGAGCTCGCAACACCGGGTATTTGTTATTAAATAAAACGTCTTTAAAGATGGGTCACATTTTAAGACTTTATAACTATTATTTCCGTGTTTATTAATTTTGAATTTTATAAGTTGAATTTTTTGTAAAAAAGATACAAATAACACTTTAGGGTAAATTTCAGAATATCAAACGATATCAAGATAAGCGTAATTTATAAATACATTAATTAAAATTGTCTAACGAAGTTTTTGTTTTTAGCTAAGCGCCACCTACTTGGTTATTTCATGAACTATTTTGAGTTTTAGTATCTACATGTAATGTAATCTACATCTATTGAAATATACTACTTATTATCTTATTTACATGGAGTGTTATCTACATGTTGTTTTATTTTATGACCAAGTAATTTTACGTACATTGCTTACGAGTTTGCATGCTCGAGACTCTCGAGTCGAAAGATTCTGGGATGCAAATATCGTAAAATGGTTTAACGTTAGTTAAGAACTTCACCAGAAATGAATAAAACAGATTCCATCAAATTGCAAATAAATCTTATAGACCGCACCCAAAGTCTCTTATCTTAAGTTTTTGAAACTTTCAGCATCTGTTAGACGTCTTTTTATGATAAGCGTAAGTGACTGCTAAAATCTTTATAAAAGGGATATCGTAGTTGCGAGTATCTAACAGTTGAAATCTGACTTTAAAAAGTAAGCTACTACCAGAATGCCTTACATCCCAGCAAACTCCTACGATGGAGACCAGAATATTTGGAGTGGTGAGCAGGTCACTAATTACTTTGACCCACATCTGTCAATTGGACAGATCATTTTCCAAGAGATGCGGCGACACCCTCAGCTAATAGCTCAGGTGCGTACATACTTGAAAATAACCTTTTCAAGAAAGAAAATAGCATATTAATTTTTCTAGATTTCGGCTACGGAGGATTCGGTCCTGACCAGAAGGGAACTCCATGCCAATGCCATGCGTGTGGCCAGCTATATGCGAAAGGAGGGACTTGTTCAATCCGATGTGGTGGGAATTATTGGAAGGAACACCACACACATGCCTGCTGTGGCCTATGCCTGCTTCTTCAATGGAATTGCCTTCCATTCGCTCAACATTACCTACGACCAGAATACCATTGAAAAGATCTACAACATAACTAAGCCTAGGATTATTTTCTGCGATGGAGATGAGTTCGCGAAGGTTCGAGCTGCCACCTCTCAACTGGATGTAAAGATTGTCACCATGCGCAATCATCCATCGGATTCCATACGGATCGATGAAGTTCTGGCCACTGACATTGAGGAAAACTTCCAGCCAGCCCATCTGGAACAGGGCAACGACCAGACTATGGCCATTCTCTGCTCATCGGGAACCACAGGAACTCCAAAGGCTGTAACTATTACCAATAGTCGGCAAATTCTCGCAGGAAACAAGTAAGATGCGAAGTACGTTATCTTGTGAATCTTTAAAACTATTACTTTCTTTTTCACCTCTAGTCATCTGACCACCGCTGATATTCAGTACTCCCACAACACCCTGGACTGGATTACTGGGCTCCTTACCACCATAACCTCCGGAGTATTTAGCACCACCCGAATTATTGCAGATAATGCTTTCGATCCTGCTTTTGCCATGAGACTCATCGAGCAGTACAAGGTTACGTGGATTATACAGCCGCCCTCCTGTATGGCCATGATGATTAATAGTCCTGAGTTTGAGACCTCCGATCTCTCCAGCCTTCGAACCTACATGTTCGGTGGATCCCGTGCTGCTGTGGAGTTACAGCAAAGTATTCGGAACCGTCTCAGTATTGATTGTCTGCAGTTTGGCTATGGATTTACGGAACTGGGCGCCATGGCCACCGTAAACTTCCACTTTGATGAGAAACCAGGTTCAGTGGGTCGTGTGCTGAACGGGTTAAGGCTAAAGATAATCAATAATGAGGGCGTATCTCTTGGTCCTGACGAAGTCGGAGAGATTTGCATCATGAATAATCAGCACTGGTCGGGATATTATGGAAACGAGGCGGAGTCCCGCTCCATCCGTGATCCACAGCGATGGTATCACTCTGGGGATCTGGGGTACATGGATCGAGATGGATTCCTGTACATAGTGGACCGCAAAAAGGAGATGCTGAAGTACCAGAACATAATGTACTATCCCAGTGATATTGAATGTATCATTTCCGAGATGCCCGAAGTGGCCGACGTTTGCGTCTTTGGAGTGTGGAGTAACATTTATGGCGACGAAGCAGCCGCTGCTGTGGTGAAGAAGATGGGCAGTGAACTGAAGGCCGAGAATGTTGTGGATTATGTGAGCAGCCGGACGGATTCCAAGTACAAGCAGTTGAACGGAGGAGCCATCATTGTGGAGGATCTGAAGCGCAGTGCCAATGGGAAAACCAATCGAATGGCCAACAAAGCTCACTTTTTGCATGTCTCGATGAGAAGCTAAAATATTTTGATTTATTGTAAAAAATTAAAAATAAATAAGAAAAGAATTTAAAGTTTGAGGTGTGTAAACGTTTCACAAACATCATTATTTTAGGAATTTTAGACCAATATTTTGTTTTTGTACCCGTTAATCCTATTTAAGTTAAGCAAGTGAAACGGGGACTGCTTTATTCTGCTGGTTTTTGGCATTCTTTACATTTAATGCAAAATGCTTTCAAAAGAAAGCACAAGGAGTTGGAAATGAAGTGGTGGGCATGTTGCAGAGTTCGTAAAACGCTAAATAACATGTTAGAAAGAGGTGGGAAAGCCTAGAAAGCGCAGAGGAGGGGACAGAACTTACTATGCCGAACATTTAGTTAATCGAAAAAGGGAAAACTTAAAAACTCCCCCGATACATGCATATTCTAGAGATGCCATCGCAACTAAAGCTGGTTTCGTCATATCATTAGTCACGTAAGCTAACCATAAAAACTACTTTGGTGAATCATAATTCGCAGTCGTATTAATATATATTGATTTTTATAATATATATTCACTGTGGAATTAATTTCCGTTAATCTATTGATATTAATATCAGAAGGTATTATACATTTATTTGAATAATATAACAAAGGTTTTGCCTTTAGCGCAGCGCCACCTATTTTTGTATCTAATGAACTAAGTGTAGTATTTTTATCTGCATTTAATGTTTATTTACATTTTACTTACATATAATGATATCTACATGACAGTTTATTTGATGTGTAGTTATAATATATTTTTTAACTATTTTCTTTAATTTATTTTCTATAATTTTGACTTGTTTAGCTTAAAAATTTCCTTGGAATTATCTATTTTATACAGACATTCGTGTAAAAACCCAACGTGTTACATTTAGTTTAGATTATTATTGTATAATAAATGTGCTTTTATATCACTTGCGTGTACAATGATTGGGTGTGCTATAATTTCCGGAGATATGTCCTTAATTTTCAAAAAGGAGCGTTTAGCAGGAGCTATGTACGTATTTTAAATGTTTAATAAACACTTTACCCCAAAACAATTCCAAAAGATGAATAATTTTAAAGTAGAAAAATAAAAACATAGAAATGTGCAAAATTTAAAACTTTTAGGGGGCTCGTTTTGGTTAAATTGGGGTTACCTTGCAGGTACAAAGAAACGAAAGTCGCCACCGCTTTGAAATTTCAGATAAAACTTATTCCCACGGTGAGATAATGCACAGATCGGGACCGAGATTGCTAACGTAGAATGAATTGCAATAAACTTGAGAAGACCAAGGAACGCCGATGATAGGACAGAAAGTTAAGCTGATATGTAATGAAAGCTCTTCATGGACTAAGCTGATAAGCATCTGGCAAAGAAGTCACCTGCAAAACAACATGTCCCGTGACTTTTATGAGGGCCAAGTAATTTTACGAACATGGTTTACGAATTTTCCTACATGAGAGATTCTGGAATGCAAATATCGTAAAATGTTTTGACGTTAGTTATGAATTTCACCAGGAATAAATGTATTTACAAGATTGAATTATAATAAGTTAGAAGTACGAGTATGTAATAAATTAATGACCGATAACGTTGTGAGATAAAAAGAAGAGTTTTACAACCTTCTATACAGATTCCACGATATTGTAAATAAATCTTATAGACCACACTGGAACAAGTCCCTTATCTTATATTTTTATATACTTCCAGCAGCTGTTAGATAATAGTTGTTGTATCTTTATTTGCTTTACCTCCCATCTTTTTATCTTTTTATGATAAGCGTGAATGCCAAGATCCAAATAAAAGGAAGATGGCAGTTGCAAAAACCCAACAGTTGAATTCTGACTTCGCAAGGTAATCTACTACCAGCATGCCTTTCACCCCAGCAAATTCCTACGATGGAGACCAGAAGATTTGGAGTGGTGAGCAGGTCACTAATTACTTTGACCCACATCTGTCCATTGGACAGATAATTTTCCAAGAGATGCGGCGACACCCTCAGCTGATAGCTCAGGTGCGTACATACTTAAAAATAACCTTTTCAAGAAGGAAAATAGCATATTTATTTTTCTAGATTTCGGCTACGGAGGATTCGGTCCTGACCAGAAGGGAACTCCATGCCAATGCGATGCGTGTGGCCAGCTATATGCGAAAGGAGGGACTTGTTCAATCCGATGTGGTGGGAATTATTGGAAGGAACACCACACACATGCCTGCTGTGGCCTATGCCTGCTTCTTCAATGGAATTGCCTTCCATTCGCTCAACATTACCTACGACCAGAATACCATCGAAAAGATTTACAACATAACTAAGCCTAGGATTATTTTCTGCGATGGAGATGAGTTCGCGAAGGTTCGAGCTGCCACCTCTCAACTGGATGTAAAGATTGTCACCATGCGCAATCATCCATCGGATTCCATACGGATCGATGAAGTTCTGGCCACTCCCATTGAGGAAAACTTCCAGCCAGCCCATCTGGAACAGGGCAACGATCAGACTATGGCCATTCTCTGCTCATCGGGAACCACAGGAACTCCAAAGGCTGTAACTATTACCAATAGTCGGCAAATTCTCGCAGGAAACAAGTAAGATATGAGGTAGTTTATCTTGTGAATCTTTAAAACTATTACTTTCTTTTTCACCTCTAGTCATCTGACCACCGCTGATATTCAGTACTCCCACAACACCCTGGACTGGATTACTGGGCTCCTTACCACCATAACCTCCGGAGTATTTAGCACCACCCGCATTATTGCAGATAATGCTTTCGATCCTGCTTTTGCCATGAGACTCATCGAGCAGTACAAGGTTACGTGGATTATACAGCCGCCTTCCTGTATGGCCATGATGATTAATAGTTCTGAGTTTGAGACCTCCGATCTCTCCAGCCTTCGAACCTACATGTTCGGTGGATCCCGTGCTGCTGTTGAGCTACAACAGAGCATCCGGAATCGACTAAGCGTGGATTGCCTGCAGAATGTTTACGGATTTACCGAGCTGGGCGCCATGGCCACTGTCAATTACCACTTTGATGAGAAACCAGGGTCGGTGGGTCGTGTGGTCAGTGGTTTAAGGTTAAAGATAATCAATGATGATGGTGCATCGCTTGGTCCTGACGAAGTCGGAGAGATTTGCATCATGAATAATCAACACTGGTCGGGATATTATGGAAACGAGGCAGAGTCCCGATCCATCCGTGATCCACAGCGATGGTATCACTCTGGGGATCTGGGTTACATGGATCGTGATGGCTTCCTGTATATAGTGGACCGCAAGAAGGAGATGCTGAAGTATCAGAACGTCATGTACTATCCTAATGATATTGAAAGTGTCATCTCAGAGATGCCCGATGTGGTCGAGGTATGTGTATTTGGAGTGTGGAGTGACGTCTATGGAGATGAGGCAGCTGCCGCTGTGGTGAAGAAAGTGGGCAGTGAACTGAAGGCCGAGGATGTTGTGGAATATGTGAGCAGCCGGACAGATTCCAAGTACAAGCAGTTGAAACGGAGGAGCCGTCATTGTGGAGGATCTGAAGCGCAGTGCCAATGGAAAAACCAATCGAATGGCCAACCAAGCTCACTTTTTGCATCTTAAAGAGAGAAGCTAAAATATTTTGTTTATTACTTAAAAAATTAAAAGTTAAAGTCTGAGATTTGTGTATTCTTTCATTTCGTTTTGCATCATTTATTTATAAACATTTCACAAACATCATTATTCTGGGGGTTTTACACAATTATTTCGTTTTTGTTTCCTGGTTTCCATTTTAGGATTTTCCTTCCTTTCGGGTGACAACAATTATTTCAACTATTTTTTGTAAAATTATGCTACTAATCTTTCACTTAGGCATTTGATTTGCTGTTTAAATTTCTCACCGACGGCCTTGATGTGTTATTAGCCGGGTCTATATGTTTACGTTTAGAATTTCATTTGTTTTGTGGTTTTTGGCGTTGTTTCTTTCTGGGCTTTTGGGTTATGTTCCAGGATTGGATTGGATTGGATTGGATTGGATTGCACTTCAGTGGAGTTCATGCGATGTCAAATTCCGAATCGATTCGGTCTTAAAGACTAAACTTGTGTGTCTTTGTGTGGGTGAGTGATCTTTGCTAAATCCTCTCATGTATGGGGATCATGTGCATGTCCTGACTTAGCTCTATAAAGTAAGGTGATTTGCAGTGTTTATTGATTCGCTATTCGATCGCCATCGATTCAAATGATTTGGTTTGTTTGTCGTTTTTAGTATATTTACACTTCTTCTCTAGAAATTATAGTTTGAGTTGCTTGATTGTTATTAATAGGGCCATGAGTCGCCCATATTTTCATTTTTTCTTTTTTGGTTTTGGAAGATATGTGTTATGATTTATCTAAATTTTAACTTGCAATTACTCAAACTCGTTTGCCCCTTCAAACTGTGCAAAGATTAGTTTTGTTTTTGACTTCGATTTGGGTGTCTTTTTGATTTTCTTCGTGTCGTTAGCAAAGATTAAACATCGAGTGGGTGGTGTAAGTGGTTAGTGAGTGATTGAGTTAGTGAGTGGTTCAAGTGAGTTCAGATAGTGGGTGGTGAATGCAATTTGCCGTGGCGCTTAGTAGCTTAGTTATGTGAATGCTTTTTAACTAGTCTGTTTTTTTTTCTCGAACTGCCTCTTAAGAACTACACATACGTTAACTTAGGATCTACTCGTTCGCATAGTTCATCTTCAACTTGACCTTCATCTCGTGTTTACATCGCATTGGTAAATGATTTAATCTCTATGCATCTCTTTTGTTAATCAAAACCTTTAAGTCTTTTTGGAACGCATCTATATATAATATATATATATATATAAAGTTGTGCACATTTCGTGTTTACGATTTCCCGTAGTTGTGTTTCTCGTTAACCTAACCATTAAATGACATTTACATGTTCTGACCCAAACTATTTACATTGAACTGGACTGCCGCTGCTAAACGATTTGCCGGGGAAAAAAATGATAATTGACCGAATTGGAGAACGGCAAACGAAGAGCAGCACACAACCTAAGTATGTTTTTCCACTAAAAATAAATGCCGAAATCAGTGTTTCGCCCACCCATTGTTCTTTATGATCTAATTTAATTGTTTTTTTCTTCCTTTACCATCATTGTGATTATTTTTCTTCTTCTAGTACATCAATCAACGCATTTCAATCAATTAGCTTCTTCCTTCTTCTTTCTTTCATTTTTTCTGAATCTTTTTCAAGTTCATCAACTATATGCTCACATTTAAAAACCCTGTATGTTCAATAGCTTCATATACAATACAACTATAGCCTAGAGTTATAGTTATAATTCGCGATCTCTTTCGATATTCTTTGACTATTTTTTTTTGGTTTCTCATTTTGCTTGGCACAACTTTTACAACATGAAAGTATCTATAAATATTATCCGATTTTCGGTTTGTTTTTTCTCTTAATGTTCTGATCGTACTTATGACGCTTGTTTAATGACAACAATTATTATGCAGGGTGCCTTTGTGTAGTGTCTCTATATATATTAGAATAAGTTTCAATTGATTTTTGATTTCGTTTTTTACGTTTAATTTCTTACCTTTAGATTATAAATGATAGCAAACGAAAAAGCATTTCCGAAACCAAAAAATATAATATTTAAAAACAATCATGAGAATAAAACAGGCTTCAAGTTAATTAAAAAATATTAGAAAACTACGAAAATATATATTTTATTTGATTTTATCTGAAGGATTTAAGTTGTTATTGTGGTTCTGGTTCTGGTTCTGTTTCTGTTGTTGCTATGTAGAATTCGCTTTATTCATAATTCTAAAATTAGAGCTGCATAGTTAATGGTGTCGGTTAGTGCATTTCTCTAGTTGGGATTGATATTTTCAGTGTGAAAGGATAAGGATAATATTTTTAGTTAAAAGAGAGGAAAATAGAGAGAGAGAGAGCTAGAGAGAGAGAGAGCTTGAGGAGGGAAGAAAGTGTGGGGAGAAGTCTCCTTGGCATACAAAAGGCACTTAAATAACCAAAGGTATTTCTTATTTCTTGGATATGAAAAGAATCGTACATCAAGATCTTGATCTTGATCTAATTTATGGCTTATAATACTGATCTCGATACGTTTATGTGTAGTATTCATTAAGTTTTCGTTAGGGACTTCTACTACATGATAAAATATTTAGTATTGTCTGTTAATTGGTTTATGGTTGGCATGTTGTATAATTTTTATTTTGTAAATCTAATTAAGGAAATTAACTAGCTAAGTGGCCTCTGGCGACCCAATACATAATTAGTTGATTGTAAATTTATTATAATATTCTAAGGATTCAAACCAAACAGGAATCAGAATTAGAGGGCTTTAATTAACCCTCTTCGAGTACAAGAACAATTTAACTACTATAAAAATTCAACTCTAAAATCAAAAGCAAGCCGTACTTAGTTATATTTATAGAAATAATTAAGAAAGTTTCTAATAAGGTTTAGATAAAAATAACTTGCAAATACCCACCAGTTTTAGTTTCAGTTTCAGGTGAACTTATTATCAGTTAAGAGTAGAGTTTTTTCTTTGGGCAAATAATGGGAAAATAAAAATTCTGTTTTTTTGGTTTTCTGTGTGCTTTGAAGGATTCTTCGATATTTTCGATTCGTTTTCGATTTTTTATTTACTTCGATGGTGAACATAATTAAATAGAATTTACCTAGATTCTCTCGCTTCGGTTAGTTGTTCGTTTATCGACTAAACTTAAATTTATCTACACGCTTTTTACAATTAGAATTGATTTAAACTAGTTCGCTTAAAACTTATTGTATGACATATTTACAAAACGTCGAATCATCTACGACCTCCGACCTCGCTCTTTGCGGCTTAACTAACTTAACGCATTTAAGTACAAATCAATTGCAATTTTGTTTAGAACTAAGCTAGAGTCCGGAACAAAACTCGATTATCGTCGATTACCAGCTAAAATAATTAATCAATTTGTAACAATTTGGAGCATCCTCAAAAACAAATCAAGTCAAACAAGTGTTGTGGTGTGAGTGTTGGTGTGTGTGTGTGTGTATCGTATTCATTATTCATAACATTATCTACTATGCAGTCACTCTTGATCAATTTAACTTACAATTAACTAGAATTTTGCCATTCATTTCATCAAAACATTATTCGTTTTTCTTTAGTGGAAGTGCCATGGAGCCTTGCCGGATACCGTTCTTAACTATACTGCACTTTTCCGAGACATAACCATACATATATAGTAGGTATATATATATATTTATATATAGCAGATAGTGTTCCTCGATCTCGTTAATGGTATAATTAGTTAATTTCGTATTAGATTCTACATAGCCACTGGATTTCAGAGACGCGCCTTAGAAGGTCCTTTAGTGGTTAAAACCATTCAATCAAGGTGTCAATCAAGAAATCAATCAAATTCGAAATGAAGCCAACAAAGCCATAAGCATACAACACAAAGCATGAAATGAAGACAACCGAAATGGAAAAGAATGAAAAAAAGAAATAGGTTAGTACATTCGTGTTGGCCAATAGCGCCAACTCTTCTATAAAGTAATTGGTTTTTTTGGCAATAGGTAACGGCATTTACTCATCCTCCTCCTCTCTGAAGAGATATGTGCTCCAGTAGACCAGGTTGAACAGGGCGAAGACCAGCGGGAAGGTGATCCGCGATATAACATCGATTCTCTTGGATCTAGAACATTGTCTTTGGATATTAAACAAGTACGAAAATGCAAATTAATTGATCATCTAAAGATTGGCTTTTTGATTTTTGTGATTACTTGATTGGTATTTCTTTGTTTTTTTTTTGTTTGTTTTTGTTTAAATTATTATTATTGTATTTATCGTTTTGAAAAGTTCCAAATTTGGCAAAATAATTTGTTTGTTTTAAAAGGGAGCGGTTCTTTGGTTAAACACTACGTGCTGGAAATGAAAAGTGCGATTTCTGTGGAGTAAATATCTACAAAACGGGGAAAGCTAGCATCAGAGGGTTGGATAGCAGGACTTAGGTCTTTACTAGTTTTTATAGGAGAAGAGAGGAAAATCGAATCTCAAGGTCTACAACTAAATACATATTTTAAAACAAACAAATCACACAATCAAAATGACTGAAAGGCAAAGCATAATTCGACTCACGGGGTTCAGTTTCAATCAACTCAATTAAAAACATATTGAAAATTTTAAATTTATTTCACATATATAAACGAGTATGTCGGCTGAGCTTTGAACTCAGCTTTCAGCAAGCAATTATTATTATTATTTTTTAATATTATTAATTTGTTGTTTTTTGTATTTGATTTGATTTGAGTTGGCAACAAAAGACAGCGGGCAAACAGAATCGAACGAACGGCAAGCAAGCGTCAGATATTCGGGTTTGGTATTCATTGGTTTTACATTTCGGTTTTCTTTCTTTAGGTTGTATTTTTTTTTTTTTTTTTTTTGTCAATGACTGTAGAGTTATGTGATAGCAAAAAAGTCAACAAGAGTTAGTGAAAGAGTTAGAATATAAAGAGTAGAATAGTACACATGTTCACAACATCAAAAAGTAAATCCATCAACTACTACGGAACACATATGGCATGGAACTAAACGAGGTCGCTACTATGGGTAGGATCGATTTGGTCCGGGATTTAAAAATCCCTTGCTTTACCTTGTTGGGAACTTGGATAGCCAGGTCTTGCAGCAGTTGGGTCGCTTCGGGGCCTGCATGTGCACCTCGCACTGGAGCCGCTTCTCCAGGGCCAATGGATCGCCCGGATGACGTACTAGCGGTTTCTGTTGGCCACCACCGCGCGCAAATTGCGACGCCGTTTGACATGAAAGTTGCGATTGTAGTCGGATGTAAATGAGGGTCGCAGGTGGTTGGTTGTTGGGTGGTTTTGGTGGTTCAGTGGTGGTTCGATTGTACGATGGTTCGATGGTGGATCGGTGGACGGTGATTCGGGTGGGGCAAAGTGCATTGGCATGTGCGTAATTTGATTTAATTTCGTCGCAATTTTTCAATTCAATTCCGGTCGAGTGGTTTGTTTTGGTTGCCAGCGATGTTCAGTGATGGTTGGTTGGTGGGAGGTTGTTGGTTGTAGGTTGTTTTTTTGTAGCAGTTTTCATTTTTTCAGTTTATTTGTGGTTGGTTGTTGATGTTGGAGTGGTTTTGTTGTTGTTGTTGTTGTAGTTGTAGTTGGGATGAGCACGTTTGAAAAAAGTTGTTGAATTTTGCATTTGGTTTTTGGTTTGGTTTTTTTGTGGCAATAAAAAAGAGGCAAATATAAAAGGAAATAGTTGTTTTAATAGTTTTATCATAACAATTTCGTTAAAGCCAATTAAAGTTTGTTGTTTTGTTTAGGAACAAAGTAAATAAAGGCCCCAATTTAAATCGATGAAAATATGTTTATTAAGTAATGTGGAAAATCTTCCCACTGATGGCTAAGACGCCCCCATAAAACCATAAGCTGTTTGGATTTTGGAAAGAGATATATCAAGAGGTAAGTACCATTGCGAACGTTGCATTGCTATCTGTATCTAGCAGATCTGAAGCGGCATCTAAACTGGCCTGCTCCAGATCACGGCGCTTCTTTTTCATATTCTCCTTATGCATGTCTGCGGCCCGATCCGTATATATCATAGGATATATGTTGCATGTGATGGAAGATGTTTGACAAGAATTTATTTGTTCCACGGCAGTTGGATGGTTTTTGGTTTTTGGTTTTTGTTTTTTTTTTTTGATTTTTTTTACAGGTTTTATTTGGATGTGTTAGTTTTGAGATGCACAGTTAAACACGGTTAATACAGTTAGACAGCGATAGTTTTAGGCGAGACAGAGATAGAGACAGTCAGAAAGAGAAAGACAGAGAGAGAGTCACACATACAGAAAACGTTAAACAATTCGAAATGTTAAAAAAAAAAAATTGAAATTAAATTTGAAGAAAACATAATTTCGGGTGCAATTATATCGATGAGGTCAGGGGTTACGCAAATCATAGTTCGATTACCACAAAGATCGGTGGATATACACACAGTTTGTAGTTATTTACAAGCATTTTTTTTTTAACAACAGCAAGGAACCGATCAGAATTCGTAGGAAGTTCGACCAATTTGTTAACAAATTGTATTTTTGTTTTTTTCAAACGCGTTTAAAGTTATTGGTTTGTGTGTGTGTTTGTTTGTGTGGGTAGTGCATGTTCGTAGTGTGCGTGTGTTCGTATGCATGTCGATGAATGGTGGGCGCAACAATGAAATAAGAGAGTAAAATAAAAAAGTTGGATTAGTTTGATACACACGATGGACCCATTTTGTGGTTAGATATCAAAAAGGTGAAAAGTAAAATCAAGGGAAAAAAATCGATCAAAAATTCACTACGACTAAACCGTTGCCGTTGGGCTTTCGCTCAGACATATAGATAAGTACATTTGGGAGCACTCTATATATAATGGTTATATATAGATATATTTGATATTAGTTATATAGCCCGAAACTGGTTCTTGTTGTTCTGGTTCATGTTGTTCTTGTTGTGTGCCACGCCGGTCCTGCGTGTGTGAGTGTACTGATATAACGGTCCACAGTGAGTACTCGTGTATGTGTGATATAGATTTGAGTGTTACGTTGGCTCTGAGTTTCATTGTTGTTGTTGTTGTTTCTTTTTTAGTTGTATGTACAGTATGCGTAGACATTTATATTTATATATATATATTGGGTACTATATAGTATATATTCGTTATCACTCAGTACAATAAAAACAACAGAAAAAAGATAAACACCATCGATTAATTAACATTTATATGTGGTTAAGAAGCATATAAAATTTCAATTACTAGCTTTATTCGAACCTGAACGGGATGCATAGTTCACCAGGGCGAACTCGAGCAGGGCCCCGAACACGAACGTCAGACACACGCCTGTCCACACATCGATGGCCTTCGTATAGGAGACGGGCGGCAGTGAGGCGTTGATGCCCGACGTCTGGGTGGCCATGGTCAGTAGGGTGGTCACACCTGCAAAAACATTTGCCAATGGTTTGGGTAATGGGTATAAGCCATGAGCGAATAAAGGATTAAGTCTGGCCCTCAAAACGATTATGTTATGTATTCGAGTAAGTTACGTGACTTCAAAGGCAAGTGCACAAATAATGGATTAAATATCAATTGATAGAGGGTTTAATTCTCTCATCAGAGCTTAAATTAGTTTGATACTTGTTTGAATTTACTAAGTTTGGTTTATCTAGATTCTAGTTTTGGGTCTGACTCCCTTTAATACTTCGACTTTTTGTATTATTATAGTAGAGAAAATCTTAAGAGCTAGTGTACAAGCCACTCATTAACTATCATTTGATATTAGGATTAAGCTCTTTATTAAGCTTACAGTATTGATTTATTGATTTATTAATTGTTATCTTAAATCATAACTAACGAAGAGTCACAACTTTTGCTTAATATTTTTTAACTTGCACTTTCATTATATTTTTGGTTATTCTTAAAAACTGGTTAAATATAATTTGAAATATGATTACACTTAAGATTATATCTGAATGAAAGTTAAACTTACCCAGTGACACACGCGCCGGCACTGCTCCTTGATCCAGCCAGAATGATACCCATGATACAATGACCAACATACAGCATGGTATATAAATTTGTATTAAGTAATATGAGAATTCTCGCTTGAATAGTAGATCGACTTTGAGGCAACTGTATTCACCTATGAGTATACAAGGTATATAAAATGTGTCAAACTCAAAATGTACGGGAGGATGTCTTAAGAGAGGTTTTTTTTTCGATTTAGCAGCTTTTGGCTTTCGCTTTTTGCATAAATTTGACGCACACACACAGTTTTTAGTTAGGTATATACACACAGATAGATATCCAATACATGGTACAAAGAAATGCCATCCAATAAATAGGGAACATAAAAAGTGTCTTGCTCGGAAATTTTGCCAAGAAAAGAAATTAAAACACATTTACAGACGCTTTTTTTTTTGTTTTGAGATTTTCTTTTTTTCGGGTATATACAGAAAGAAGGTTTTTTTTTTTAAAAAAAGAAAAGAACAAAAGCGGGTAAAATATATCATACAAAGACGGGGGAGACATAATGTATTTACAGAAAAAAAAACTCAATAAATAAACAAAAATGAAAATACAGTAGGGGAAAAGGTGGGGGAGAGGTGTTTTGTGGCACACAGAAAGTGGAAAATTATAAAATCAAATGAAAAATTGCATCATAGGCAAAAAGTATCAACATGAATTCAATTTCTGACTTTTGCAACAAAAATCTTAACGGAAATGAAGTTCGACGTCTTTTGTGTGCTGTTTCTTGTTGTAGGTTCTGATTTTCATTTCGTTCGCTTCCGCTGCTGCCACGCCCCCCCCTATCCGCCCCCGACCCCGCCCTGCTTTGGGGCACGCCCCTTTCTTGTGCTTCATTTCCGTTAATTTGTTGGCAAAGCGTTCCATACTCTTCAAGACAAAGTTGTTTATTATTTTACATTCTCATATTGTTTTTTTTTTTTTTGTGATTTGTTTTTGTTTCTCATTTTCAATTTCGGCGATTTGTCACGTTGAGCGTGTGCTGTTCATAAGAAATTTCTCTCAGTGTCTGAGGGGTTTATTCATTTTGCCCTGCTTGCATTTGTTTGCCGCCTGTGTGTGGTTTTATTTGCTCGGCTCTTTGGTCTGGGTTTTGGGTCTGGGTCTTTGGTCTGGGTCTGGTACTGGTAGTGAATCTGGGTCTGGTGCGCTCTCCGTAAATCGCATCTGGAACAGTTCGCACTGCGGCTTTGGCTTTGGCTATTGCTTTTGCCTTTGGCTCTGGCTTTTGCAACTGGCCATCATCAATCATCAAACGATGACTCTTTCTCTCTTGGTCGAGACTCGGTTTCAGAATCGACACTTGAGCTCGTTTCTCTTTAATTCCGTTCAACGCTCATAGAAGATATGAAATTAATAAACTTTATGTGAGCAACTAAGTTCAAGGCGAGAGATCTAAATTTGCAACAACTACGCAACGTCTAGGTGGAAAAAGTCATATTTAGTTGAGATTAAATATAGTTGAGCTAAAAACGAGATTGTTTTTTTTTTTTTTATTGGGAGTGATGAAGTTCAGGCTCATGCTAACTTATTAATGGATGGATGATGGGGGATGATGACCCTATTAAATGATATATAGTTAGATTTGGTTTCCGTTCGCTAATTGGTAAACAAACAAACTTGGTGTCAGCAGGTTTTTTGGTTGAATTAGGTAGAGCTACAACCACTAGATAAATACACGTTTCTGTTTGCTCTGGCTCTGCCGTAAACTATCCTAATATGCTGACACACACAATTTGCCAACTTGTAGAAAAATCTGGCCCGTTTGTTTGGCTCCATTTCCACTTCCTCTGCCACATCAAAATCAACATCTATATAGCTACTACATCCACATCATCGTCGCCATCATCATCATCTTTGGTGCAGCGTCTTTGTGCAAGTTTAAACAACGTCGCAGACAATTTCCTCGATTAATTTACTTTCCGTACGGCTTTTGCCATTTTTGCCTTCATTTTCCGTTTCGCATTCGATGGGGAATCCCCTTGATGCTGCCGCCATCTCGTCCTCGACTGAATAGTTGTTCGCCAAGGTAAACATTTACTTAAAGCGCGCGCAGATTTCAAAGTGCTCATAAAAAAACGGAAAGGTAAACGATGTGTACGGGTGTGGGTTTGGATTTCTATATATACATATACATATATATTATAGAGGCACGTGTGTGCAAGTGTGCGAATTACATCGGCCCAAAACGATATGCTCATTGAAATGGCGCATGTGTAAACGGCATCTTATGAAATTCGCTACGTCTATATATAAATAAATGAATGTGGTGTGTGTGTGTGCTGTTGGGTGTAGGTGTGGGTAATTGCTGGTGTATGTGTGTATGCTATGAAGTGGTTATGGGTCCGTTTATAATATTTTCCAGTTGGGACCCAACGTTTACGATATGGTTAGAGCTAAAGTTAAAGCACTTGGCATGCAATCTCAAGGGAACACTTATTATAAATGCAAACAAAATACGCAACCCAGCGAGGAAACGAAACAAGCCAAGTACGTATATGAGTACTAGGAGAATAGTTAATATAAATATTAAATATATTGTTGGCAAAAATCGGTTGAAGTAACACACTGCGGATAGTACACATTCTAAACGTACGTACCAGTATTGGTTTTACTGTTGCAGTAATCAGTCAGAAACTTCTCCAGTGTGAAGCGAGGTAGGTGTAAGTTCTTCACCACCTGCACGGGATCGCCCTCCTTCCACAGGAAGACCAAGTCGTTGGTGGTCCAGCCATCTAGAAGGTGATTAGTTTATTTACATTATATGAAATTAGTTATAAAATTAAAGTTTCTATTTATTTCTATATCTTGAATAATATTCTAGCATTATTTAACTACGGTGCCTAAAAGTATGCAGTCCGTTAATATGAATCCTTTGAACTTTTAGGTGAATAGTTTTGTTGCCTGCTTTTAGGCATCAACATGATAATATATTTTAAGTTAGTTGATAAATCTTTTAAGAGTGGAAAGATAAATACACTGACAATATCTTAAATGTATATGCTATTAAAATATATTTAATATGTATTGGTCCTTCATTAATTTTTACTTACAGCTAGCCATCCTAAGTGAACAGATCTGTCTATCCAGCGGGTATAGCTTCAAGTTCATTGGACAGGCCAATGTCAGCGAGATACGTATACTATATAGCACTGAGCCGTTGGGGAAGATGCGAATATACACATTGGGCATGATGATGTTGTGGAAGTGTCCCTCCTTCTCGTTCGAGAAGAAAAGATCGGGCATCCACACGCGGTTTGCCTCCGTTAGGGTGAGATATTTCAGGCGACCTGTGGGGATTAATTAACAATCTTTGAAGTCCACAAAGAAATCGAACGATGTTTCTGCAACTAACCCTGGATATCGTCGAACTTGAGGCGTTCATCCGTCCACTGTTCACGGAAGGTTAACTGCACACTGTACTCCTGCGGACGTTGGAATTGGTGGTTGATGATGGTTGAATGGCCAGAGGAAAATTCTCATTAGTAGACGAAGTAAATTGGGGCTTTGCGGGAATTCAATCTCAACTACAATGCAAATTTCGCTTTGTCGAATTGGAAAGGGAGTTTCTTTCAAGTTTTCTTTTCTTCTCAATTTTTAGATTGTGTGTTAAGAGGACTTTTCAATGGTTTGGGGTGGCTTGCAGTTCGATTTATTTAATTGAATTTGATTTTTGGTTTGGAGGGGCTTTAGCTTTACGTTTTTGCAAAGATTTGTTTGTTTGATTTTTTTTTTTTTTTTTTTGGTTTTGGAATATGAAAGAGCGAGCAAGGCGAGGCGAAGTAGTTGGTTGTTATTTGTATAACTGAGTGGTATATATTGATATTCGTATAGATATATATTTATATATATTGAGAGTATGGTGGTTAACTGTCGTTTGGCTTGGGTTTCTGCTGGTTTTGAATGTACTCGGCATTGTTCGGGTTGATGGTATATATATATTTTTTATTTTGTTGTCATGGCTAATAAATATTTAATATTTGCGCAAAATGCAACCGAATGCCACATGCGACGTGTTGCACATTCAAACTTCAAAACGAGCAAGCAGGCTAAAAGCAGGCAAAAGGCACGTCAAGGCAAAAGCAAAATGAGCAGGCGATTTGGGCAAAAAGCAAGGCATCTTATACATACATTTAGAACTTTGAAGAAAGTTTCTTTCTCTTAAACAAAAGCTGAAAACATAGTTTAGTATAACTTAAAAATATCTTAATTCTTTAATGTGCTGTTAAAACTTATGAGAAATTAAGTTTCAAAAATAGTTAGGTTAAACCTTATTCAAAATAATATAAGTTAACTTACAGAAAACTATGAATGGCTTTAAGTGACTTCTGGCAAAATAATAAATTAATATTATTAAACCATCAGTGGAAGTCCAGAGCCAATTCATAAAACATTAATTAACTAAGAAATCGCTAAAGTGCATGCTTAAAAAACTAGTTAGTCATGCCATTCCACAAGAGATGGGAATTGAAAAAAAGTAAATGGGATTTTAATTAAAAGATCAACTAAATCCAACTAAAATCGCATGGATACACTGTTCATGTTAGTCAACAACTAACATGTTGTTCAATATTTTTTCTCGTGATTTAATGAATCCCAGAAAGTTGGGGGGAAAATATTATTGTAAACACTTGCCAATTAAGCAAAGTGAAAACAAATAAATTTGAATAATTATTACAAATAATTGTATTTTATTTATGACTGTTTCATGACTTCTTTTATGCATTTTAACATGGCGCAAATTAAATGTGCTGTGAGGTTTTTGTGGCAGCCTCCGGCTGTCGTATCTGTCTGCTTTTTATAACAGTTTTTCACCAGCGTTTTTCCTGACAGCGGAAACCGAACTGGACAAATGGAGATTGTGCTTGTTGGTTTTCCCCATTTAGCTTTTTCTTTATGACTTTTCTGTTGGCACTGGCATGATATCTCTTAGTTTGTACTTACAGTTAGCCCTGTCATAGTAACTAAATAGAGCTGTAACACTCTCGTTTTTATTAGTGTGTGTGGTAAGCATTTTCAATGGGTCTTATTGACCCCAAAAAGCTGGATAGTTGGCTGGAACAAGGTGGCTTAAAATGATGAAGTTAAGTGAAATAACCGAATCGAACGGAACAGAATTGAATGAGCGTTGGTGTGGGCGGCATTTTGTGGGCTGTGGTTTCAATGTCGGTGGTTTAATGTTTTCTTGCTGCTGGCAGTGGTAGTGGTTGTGGTGGTGAGAGTCTGTTTTTGTCGTGCAGTGGTTCCGACCTTAAGCCTTAAGTCTAGCCTAAGTTACAAACTAAAACTTAGTTCATAAAATCGTGGTTTCGATTAGTTTCACTTGGATGGCTGGCAGTGACATCGGTTGGCGGTGGAGACAAAGCTAAAAGCTTAAGTTTCAAAAAATTAACAAAAACAAGAGGACATTAAATAATAGTACATATATATATATATATTGTTTTTACACAGTTCAGGTACAGGGAGTATTTATTGTATATATATATATTTTGTATAATACATGTACATTGACATTGTTTACATAGTTAGCTTGCTTATGTTGTACAGGTTGCAGATATATAGAAAAATGTACAGATTCCACTGGCACAGACGCAGTTTGACTTGAGTAATGTATTTTACACCCATTTATACCCACACAGACACACACTGAGACACACCATATACATAGTGAAGGACATGTATTATTAATGCAATTATTTAATAGGCCCAAATTACTGGATTAACTTTTGTAGACACACACACATACACACACGGATACACACACGCACGCACAATTAAAACAAAGTGAGAGTAAGCGCTTGGGATTTAATCGTTTGTATCTGTAGTAGTTGTTTGAGTGTTGTAGTTCTTTTTGTAGTTGTTGCTGTGCTTGATCCAGAACTCACCATTTTGTAGTCGTCGATTTTGGAAATGGAGCGCAGGAACATGTTCACTTGCACAGTGGTGGCCTTATTATCTAAAATCAATCATCATATCAAAATTGGTTCTTCTTTTCTTTCGAATTTCTCTCTGTACTTTTCCGCCATTCTTATGCTGAAATTTCCTTAAACTAACTTTACTTACAAACTAACTAGGTTTTTCCTTAACTTGTAAATTTTTTGATGAATTTTATGTGTGAACGAAATGCATGTTTTAACATTTTAAAACCGAAAGAGAAATTAAAAATTTACAAATTAAAGTGAGAACTAAAATTGGAAAAATTGAATCAAATGTGTAGAGAAAAATGTCTGCATGGATCTCATTGAATTGAAGAATGAAATTGGTTTTATTTGTTTCAGTTTGGTTCTGTTCAATATTTATGTTTGTGTCAATTAAACTCTAAAATTGTATTTAGTTTCGTTTGCCAATTGGATTTATTTATTCCTCGATTTGTCTGTGTAATATTTCTGTAAAAGTACTTTTTGAAAAATGCATGCCACACATTTTCAATTAGTTTTTCCTTCTGTTGACCGGAATGGATTTATTAAATTTTGCTTCCGAATCTAAAAGCGTTGAATAATTTCTATGTTAGCGTTTGGTTTCTTTTTCTTTTTCATTTGTTTTAAGGGCGTTAAATGAAAAGACCATTTCCAAATGGAAAAACTTGTTTGATTTGGTTTATTTTTTTTAAGGGGGAAAAGGGAGAAGTGGAATGGGTTGGGAAACCATAGTTTGGGGGACACACATACAAAGCACACGATTAAAATTAACAGTTCACAATTTAATTGATTGTTTCACTAAGTACATAGAGTAGCATAAATTAAACAACATTGTTCATTTCACAGATAGTTTTTTTGTTAATAAGCAAATGGCGTAATTAAAAATAAATTTGTATATAATTATTAGACCGAGGCTAAAATAGTTGGCTTGCACCACTCATCACAGTTATAAATAATTTGATATGAGGTTAGTTAATTAATTTATTAATAATTATTAGTAGAAATTTATAAATTTATACAGAAAGTTAAAGAGAGACAGAGAGACAGAGAGTTAGATAGATAGAAGTAAGGTAAATTAATCTAAGTTCGATTATTTGATGTTTTTTTTTTTTTAAAGAAAGAGGGTTAGGAGGCTAGAGAGGCGTGAGAGAAAGAGAGACAGAGAGACTGTGTGGGAAAGAGATCCAAAAAGACATTTTTTCACAATGTTTTGTATATCTTTTGATTGATAAAGACTACAAAACAGCAAACTGAATGGTTTTATTTTACAGTTTCGTTAATATAAAATGAGAAAATCAAACGAAAAATGCAGTGAGTTAATTCGAGTTACCAATGCAAATTGACAAACAAAATCAATCTAATTTTAAATGCAATTGTTAACTTAAGAAACTAAAGAACCAATTAGGCAATTTCACTTTTGTTTTCTATGAACCCAAACCGAAGGCAAATCTTACACGAAATCATACAACTCAAATACAGAAATCATATCACATCGATAGTCAAACAAAGTGTTATGTTTTATAGATACCAATATCAGATAAAGTATATAGTATATAGCATATATATATATATTTATAATATTTTCCATGTTTATACATATAGTTTTGTATCATTTCGAGTGTTTTGGTGGCTTTCCCGACGCCTAACAGCACAGAAAACGAGCGGAGGAGCAGAACACAGAACAGCCTATCACAACAGATACGAGGAGGGGTCAAGAGTTCGAGGGGGGTTCGATGAACCCTGAGGGGGTTACGACTTCAGCATCCACTTGCGGTCAGGGGTTTTGAGGGGTGTTCTGATATACTAACGGGATTTTTGATTTCTTTAAAATTTTGGTTTTGATGCGCCGACTTACCATGGTTACATCATCGATTTTCGATATACTCCTAACGAATATGTTGACGCGCACCACAGCTGGACCATCTGCAGGCGATACATGATAGATAGACATATTCACCGATTTGCACAATACTTTCAAAATGTAATATACTACAAAATTTTAACAGCTGCCGCAGGGTCCAACCCCTAAAAACGAACTTAAAATGACCAGCAGATGAGGAGGTTTTGGCTCCTTTCCTCGTCCAAAAATATTTGCCAGTCCTTATGGCATTCTCTTTCTTTCTCTCTCTGTAATAAAGTTTTATTTTATAGCCTTCCTCCCCGGTTGTTGTTGTCCTTTTTGCTTACTTGCTAGGATACAAAAGTTGCTTAGCAAGTTCGCTTCCAGTTTTGCTTACAAAGCTAAGCTAAGTCAAAGAATATTTTCTTCTTCTCGATTTTTGTTTCGTTTTGTTTGCGTTTTTTATATATATATATATACCTAAGTTAAGCTAGAATTTATGTACGTTACTAAAGTTGCGTTGTTTGTCTATGAGTTGCTGTTGCTGTTGTTGTTTTTGTGACCTTCGAGGGTGGCTTATAGAGGGGGTGGTGGTTGGGTTTGTTAGGAGATTTGTACGTATGTGTGATATAAACAAAATACAACGGAATCTGTGTGAGATTTGCTACCAAATGCCGAAGGGCAACGTGGATTTGTGCTAATTGATATGCCTTAATAGTTAATATTTATTTATCGAACTGGCAAAAATATATATATGGAGTATATATATCTATATAGGCTTATGTGTCGCTTTCAATGACCATTCCCAGTCGGTGTTGCAGGACTATAATGACTATGTGAATGTGATTGTGTCGAGCTATTTTTAAATATTTATGCTGCCCTTACATTTTTAATGATGTCATTGCTGCGGTAAAAGTCAACATGACAATAACAAAATGAACTGCAAATGAAATCAAACCTTTATTGTTAATTAAAACGAGAAAAACTGAATAGGGATCGACGGGTGATTTTTGGGAAGGGCGATGAAGAAATCCATTTTGAATGCCAGAGACTTTTGTTAAAAATATTTGAATTTGCACTTTAAATATTAAATAACTCTGGGAGCCATTAAAAAAGCTTACAGAATCGTTTTTATGAAAATAATAAAATATCCTATCAAAAAAGGAAATCACTTTCTTTTTTCTGAGTTTATGTTTGACTTCGGAAATGTGTATATAATAAATATATAAAAAAACATAAATTAAACATTAAAGTGGTTTCAGACATTACAATATTTGCATTCTTTTTGTTAAAACCTGGCATAGCAAATATTAATTTAACGGGAAATGGAATAAGCGCATTCCATGGGAGGCCATTTCACAAGAAGCCCAGAAAAGTAGGCAATGATTTTCGAGCTCAAGTGTGTATGTGTCGAACTTAGCCGGATTATTTGCTGTTTATCTTAAATAAAACACAACGAACGCTGTTTATTGAATCGAACGGAAACGGAAACAGAAATGTACAAACAGGAGGGACAGGTATTTGGTACAAACTGCCGAAATATGGCAAAAATCAAACGCAAATACTTAGCATCGGATGTATATACGCAATATATATATATATATATGGTAGGTATTCAAGAGATTTAGAGAACGAGTCAACGCAAAACGCAAAAACAAGTGTGTGAGTGTAGGTGTAAGTGTGTCTTTTCTATGTATTTGTGAGTTGCAAGAGCTACTAAGACAACTTTAGTGTGTTTTATTTTTCTAATATCTTGATGAGGAGGCAAAGTGAGATAGCAAGAGACAGAGCAAGAGAGGAGATGGAGGGGCAATCTATCGACTTCGAGTGACGATATCCTTTGTTTTCAGTGCGACTTACCATTTTAATATCACTAATCGTCATAATACTGCGTACGAATAGATTGATTCTGACTATGGCGGGACCATCTGGCATAAAGTTTGGTTTAAACGTGAGTTTTGCGACGTAAATGTAAAACGGTTAACTTATTTGACTGATCTAACTAGGCTAACGATTGCTTTGATCTGATTTGCACACTAAACTAAGTTAGAGATGATTCGATATTGGATTTCGTTTAACTTAAACAGAGGTGGCTTATATATTAGCTATTAAATTTTATAATTTTGTTAGATAGCTTTCCTAGCGATTGCTTTCACCAATCAATTTACATTTTATGTATTGAAAATAAAAAGCCAAAACTAACACAAGTAATATAATGAACCTAAAGTTTGTTAAAAATCGAAATGAAAACATTTATTTTATTAACAGTTTTTTTAGAGTACGATTAAATTTTATAAAGGGTAATCTGAATTTTTTCTCACCTGTGCCATTTATTCCGGATGGTCGTATACGGGCGTCGTATTTGCCTGCACCTAAAATTTGATCTAAGACTTTTTTCTCCTTTTCTCGGAAATTTATTTTGGCATTATTTGCTCTGAAATCAGGATACGGATAGGTACGCATGTATAATTTAAAAAAATATATATGTTTTCTTCAGTTAATTGAGCAAATTGGAGAATTGAAATATTTTAAAATGGTTTTTGAAGTTTTGGAAAAACATTAGCTGAGCAAATTGTTAGTAATTTGTTGGTTTTTTTGGAAAGTCGCATAAAAGAAAAGTTTTGCATACAATTTACAGCAAGTTATTGTTTTTTTTTATATATTATTATTAATATAAATATATATACAAATTGGTAGTGTGGGATAGTGTTTGCTTTTATCGTTATCGTATCGGTATTATACACGGTCGCACTTATCAAAAGCCAAGGCAAAGTCACATAACTGCTGACTCTGACCTCGACTTGAGCGTAAATAATTCCAAAATTTATGCTCCGACAAAAAATTACACGAAAATTAATTACATTTTAATGATGTGTCCTGGTGGAGTGTTTTCAGTGAGTGTGTGTGTGTGTGTGTGAGAGACAGGATATGGTAATTCAAGTAGATGAAGGTGGCTAAATGGTGGGCGTGTGTTTGTAAATAAGCAACAACTGAAAAGCAAACTACAGCTCTCAACTACACTGGTAATTCAGAGTGAGAGGCTTTTTAACCGATATAAATATTTACACAGAGAAAAGCTTATTTAATATTTAATAATTTACAACATAGTGATTTTTAATGTTATCTTTTATAAAAGGAATAACTTGAGTAGATTAATTTAAAGAATTTTTATAGCAAAAATATTTTTATAACTTCTAATGAAAATATCGAATTCGTATATATTCTTGTTAAAGGCTTAAAACATTTCTCACTGATCCTTTAAGTTTATGTTTCTCTGTTTCTCAGTGTATATATGTATTATTGTTAAATATATCGGCTTTGGTGCTTCACAGCGAGGCGTGGCTTGGCCATATTAACGACAATTGTATGTAAATCGCACTTTGAATGCCACTTCTTGGCCAAGTGCAGTGTGAAACACGCGGCTCGAGAGAGAGAGCCGCATGGCAAAAAGTTAAGCAAGAAGTAAGTGTGTTAAATAAAATAAATGGTAAGTGGAGCAGGGAGACAAATTATGAAGCGGTTTACATTTTGCAGCTACTGTTTTGCGAGTGGTGTGTATATATTTTTTGTAAATCAGTGGAATAAGTACAGTGAGTACTTACAGTGAAGCACTGCACAGGCTGGCAAAGTATAAGATCGCCCAGAAATAATGTCCGCTGCCCATGTTGGGGATTTTAGTGATGTGGTTGGTGTATTTGGTGTGCGTCCTGCTTCCTGGATGTGGTTGAGTGTTGGGGGCGGCGTGACAGCCTCCTCCTCCTCCTTGTGGTGGGCGGTGCGACCTGAAATGTATAATTAATGTACTGTTAGTCTTGAAGTACTAACTGATTTGATAATCATATCGTTGGCCATGCCGCAAAATCAAAGTGTCCATTGAATCATTTTACGCAAAACCGAAAATTTCTCTGATTTAACCCGTACTCCATGTGTGTGGAGTGTTAAATTAAATTGGCTATCGAATTAGGCCAATTAACATGCCATTTGGCTATTGCCGGTGCATCAAATGCATATGCATAACCATCTGCAACTCAATCTATGCTGCACACATATCTCATCGGTTTCTCGGTTTCCTCGGTCCTTTGTCGGTGTGTTAATGCGTTTTGCGAATGCCAATTGCGAATTGCGAAATTCTGGCATAAATGCAATTAAATTTGCAATATCCTTCTGGCCAACACGATAGGTGGGAAATTGAAAATTTAAAAGGTCTTGACATCGTAATGCTGCTTTAATCTTTTGCCCAGGGAATCCATTACGTTACATTCATGAAAAATGCAAATTGCAATCGCAGCTCAACACATTCGACGAGCTACAAAAGACTGTGGTCGGGAATCTGTTTTTTTTGAGCAAGGTATGAAGTTGGAATGCTCTACCAAAAGATGTTTCTATAGTAAATATAAAGATTAATGCTAATTTAAAGTATGATAATAGCAAAAGCAACCTTTGATTTCTCATGAGACTATTTACCCCCGAAAGTATTTTAATCAGTACATAAATGCAAGGATTTGCCAAAAACTAAGATATTCTCCTTTGTTGTTTACTTAATTGAAAATCGTAAGCAGGCAATTTTAATTGAGTTTGCCAAGTCTCAGGCTTTCTAAAGCTTAAAGTCGGGTATTTATTAATTGAGGCAGTTAATACTTTTATCTCTGGCATGCAGACTGCCGAATGCAACACAAATGCCAGTTGCCTTTCAGTATACCCTGAAAATGTGGACTTTCTGTTGTTTCTCGCTTTCATTTTGCAACAATCATTATGGTCGGGGCATTTAAAACAATGCCAACAATGACCGGGCAATATAACAGATATATCTGCTGACCAGCTTTTCAGAAGGCCGCAGCCGGAGATGCACAATGCCGAGTTCAGAATGCCGAATGCGAAATGCGAAATGTGAAATGCAAAATGCGTTTGCGTATGCGAATATTGGAATCGAATTAATCCTTTATAAGCATTTTTCTCTTCACTCCAATGGACGACGTGCTGTGCATGGGCGATAAGTGCGTTGTGGTGACCGAATGTGCCACGCCCACAATTGAAGCTAACGCCCCCTCTGGGCAAGGAAGGCCACAGGCGTACACATGCAAACTCTCGCACATTGGATGGAACATTGGCGTGGCCATGACCGAGTCGGGGCTTTCACAGTTGTTGCCATGTGAATGTGGTAGGCCCCATGCAAATAATCAATTGGTCGAAATGGGTAAAGGGGCTTCCGGAATGGTAATGGGTATGGAAATGGGTATGGCAACAGGCTGCTCTGGTCGCTCCAAATTTGCATTCGTGCTGTGTTAATTTGCCGCTGCTGTGCCTGCAATTTTGTCCCATAAATACAACCAAGTGCACCCAGTTGCCGATGTTGCATCTCTGCATTGGGCAGAAAAACACCAACAGCAACAGCAATAGCAATAGCAACATCGGCGTTGAGTTGAGGACATGGACCCAGGCGGTCCTTACCAGGAATCCTCCATTTTGCTTACCCCCTCCCTTTTCGTTCATTTTATATATATATTTTTTTTTTGGCCCGCTGTCAAAGAAAGTTAACAATGCGACTGCGACTGCCAAATGTCCCACATTTGCAGCTTGCCAAGCAGTTGGCGCCAATCCTCCTTCCCTCAAAAAAAATAAAAAAAAAAAAAAAATAGTAAAAAAAAGGACTACCGACTGTGTGTGTGGTGTAAATGGGTTTACTTTTATTTCATTTGTTTGTGCGTGAGTGTGTCTGTTTGTCTGTCTGTCAGTATGGCTGTGTGTGTGCATGTGTGTATGTTTCTGACGAGTCGACACACTTTTGAGCTTGGCAATGTTTTTACTGTTCGCCACCGACAATAAAAACAACAAACACTTGGGCGCTTGTCTACCTCAGCTAAGGCTTTGAGCTGTTTTGGCCGCTTGTTGTTGCCAACTTGCTGCGAGTTGAATGAACGTGCAGAACTGCGAAAAAATATCCCAAACTTGTTTTAGATGGGATTGAGGTGGTTGTGAGGCTGAGGCTGTAATTCGATTAAGTTTTAGATTTATACAGTTTTTTTCCTATAAAAATCTCCAAGAAAAGGAATGGGAAGAGACCACGAATTTAATTTTCTTAATCTTAACTAAACTCCTCCTTCTTTTTATGTTACCAATGAGAATTTCTAGAATTTCTATAGACCCAACATGATAAACGATTATTTTGGTTAACTAATCTTAAGATTTCGATTTGACACTTTCAAATCCCAGTTTAAAAGTTACCCCCTTCATGTAAAAGCTTTATAATTTATTTGAGTTTTCTGAGAGTATAAATTTATAGCAGCTGTTTATGGAATGTAAAAAATTTTACAAGGATTCTAAAATTTTGTCGGGATTTGGCTCTATATTAAGAAACGAATCCCAATAATATAGGGATTCATTCCTTAGTAAAGCGGCTAGATCCCGGCAAAATGAAGAACGCTCTCGATTTATTTACACTTTACAAAAAATGTTTTACATTAACTGATTGTAAACATTTTCGTAATCAAGAAAGCCAGACTGCACTTAAAGATTTGACATTAGTTATTTATAAATTAATTTTAGTTTTCTGGAATTTTGGAGTTATTAATATTGTTTTGTCTTTCAAGAAGAATCACAATTACACATTTTGATTGGATGATAAGTTAGGATGATAAATTTTTTCATTTTAAGTGCCTTAATATTCTGTGAATTTTTAAACTCAAAGAGGCTTTCCTATGTTCATTCATTCATTTCTGTTTTCTAGCTGGTATTTGAAAGCAATTTATTTGTCTTAAAGTCTGGCTGTGACTTATAGTCCTCTCCTTAAACCCAGCCACATAATTTCTTGCAGTGTTCTGGCCAAAAGAGCGTGCTGTATGTGTGTGCAATCTCAACACATATACAGACACGCACACACACTCTCAAGCCATACAATCACATCCCGCACACACAGTCGTATATATTTTTTGCGTTTTATGCCGCTCAGCGGCGCTTGTAGCTCGTTATGTTGATTGGATTTTGTGCCGCCCGCACCAGAAAGTAGTCCACACACACATACACAACACACACACACAGATACACTCACGCACACTATTAAGGCACTTGCGATGGCTGCTGAATAAAGTCAAGTGGCGTATGTATGCGATGTGTGTACGCCTGTGTGGGTGCGTGCCATAAAGCTGGATTCATTTTGTTGTTGTTGTTTTATTTGCTGCCCTTACGCTTTTCTCCTCGTTTTATGTATGCAAAAAATTTTACACTCTCGTTTTCGCCATATGATTTTGTTCCTCTCTCTTCCTGTCTCTCGTTCGCTTTATTTTCCTGCTAAATTGTAAGTAAGTGGGCTTAGTAGCATTTTGCCATTTAGGACTCTGTCTCTCTTTCTTCGTGTGTGTGCCTATGTGCGGTTACGGGTGCGTATGAGTAATATTCTGCAACCGGGATTTGCATAAAGCTCACCTCAGACGGGCTGCCTTAGCTTTAACATTCTGGGAGACAGTTTGATAAACACCAAAATCGCTGTGGCTGACAAACAAAACAAAAAAAAAAAATCAACAAACAAGTTGACAACATCTGATGGCACGTTGGTTTGGCTCCACCAAATGAAACGCTGCCGCTGGATAACGAAAGAAAGCCCGGGCGAACGAGATCGAAAGGTCAAAGTGCGTTGCATACGTGAGTGGCTCGAACAGATTGCGAAAAGCCCACCAACCACAAGGGCTCTACTTCATAGTCCTAACGAGCTAGTCCCATTCACATCCCTGATTAAGTGAAAGCCGGAAAGTAATCTCACAAACGATGTACTTGGAAAGTAATACTGAAAATGCTTTTGTAGAATTTTAAAGAGACTTAAAGAGGCTAAACCCAAGATTTATTATTGTATATTTTATTTAGAAATATTTTCCTGTTCCTCCAATCACTGTGAAATATGCCGTGTATAGTTCAATATCTGAGTCTTAACGAACTTTCCACTCGCATCTCGCAAATGTCAAGCCAGGGATTTCATATCACTCAGCTGACAGGACCAAAAGGTCACAGCTTGCGTCCAGCCGCCTCTCCTTCTGCCTTGCCTTCTCCCCCTCTGCTCACTCATAATTAATTGAAATGTCAATACATTGTTTGTGCGTCCCAGGAAAAATATTAATGAAAGCCGAAGAGAGAATTCCTGGCAATAGGGCGTGGATTAAAGGGGACTGGTGTGTGTGTGAATGTGTGTTCCCTATTATTAGCTCTTCGAAGGAAGAATCATCTATCAACGCAGACTACATAGATGTCTATGTGCTATTTATAGGATTTTCGGGTGAAATCTGAACTTTAACTGGAAATTAACTTGCATGAAAATTGGCCAATAATTTGCTGGATTTATTGCCAACAACAAATTGCCGGTTACACGGGCACCCCCTTTCACCTAGTCAAATGGGTCAATAAACTAAACAGCACCCCGAAGGCGATAAAATTGATGGACAGAGGCGTCAGCAATGGGGAGCAGAGTCGCGAGATAACCGCGATTAGGAGTTCGTATGTATAGCTCCTTCTCTAGTTTGGGACCCTTTTAAAAATGCACACGCACGTAGATCCCACACAGACACACACTCTCACACTGCTAAACACCGATATATTCGCATACATAAATCACATATTCCAGCGCTTTGCGGCCATTTAATGGCTGTCAAGATAAGCTTTCAGGGGCTCTGTATTCGGGCCTTCATGTCAGCCCCATACTCCGTATATATATGGTTGACTAAATATATATGTGTGTGTGAGTGTGTGTGAGTTGGTTCCGCACAACCAAAGTAAATAATTGCCTAAACATTGTGCAAAC